ACGCTCTAACCTCTCGTGCTAACTATCCAGGCCGTGGCTTTGTTGCCTGCTTCCTTCACAACTCTGGCTATGATGTCGTCTTCGCTGATGTCAACGACTCAATCGTCAACCAACTCAACAACACTCCCTCATACCGCGTCATCGAAGTCGGCTCTGAAGCTACCGTCGAGAACACTATCACAAATTACAAGGCCATCAACTCAAGGACACACGAGGAGGACTTGATTGAGACCATCCGCACAGCTGAGATCGTCACTTGCTCAGTCGGTCCCAACATCCTCAAGTTCATCGCCCCTGTCATTGCTAAGGGTATCGACCGCCGATCAACAGAAGAGTCTCCCCTGCATGTCATTGCTTGCGAGAACGCCATCGGTGCCACTGATACCCTTGCCGAGCACATCAAGAACAACACTGATGCCTCTCGTCTTGAGGACCACCACCTCCGAGCCCGATATGCCAACTCTGCTATTGACAGAATTGTTCCCGCTCAGGACCCCGATGCTGGTCTTGACGTGACACTCGAGAAGTTCTTTGAGTGGGTCGTTGACCGCACTCCCTTTGAGGATGTTGGCATCCCCGACATCAAGGGCATCAACTGGGTTGACAACCTTGAGCCCTTCATCGAGCGCAAGCTCTTTACTGTCAACACTGGCCACGCCACCGCTGCCTACCACGGTTACAACCGAAGAAAGCGCACTGTCTACGATGCTCTCCAGGACAAGGACATCATGGCTGAGGTTCGCGGTGCACTTATGGAGACCAAGAACCTGATCGTCTCCAAGCATGCTATTGACGAGGAGGCCCAGGCCGCTTACGTTGAGAAGATCATCAAGCGAATTGGCAACCCCCATCTTGAGGATGCCGTCGAGCGTGTCGGCCGCGCTCCTCTCCGAAAGCTGTCTCGCAAGGAGCGATTCATCGGCCCTGCTGCTGAGCTCGCTGAGAACGATCAGCCCATCAAGTACCTCCTCGACGCTATCGAGATGGCCTTCCGCTTTCAGGATGTCCCCGATGACGAGGAGTCCAAGCAGCTCGCCGAGATCATGTCCGAGAACGGCCCTGAGGACGTTGTCAAGCAGGTCTGCGGTATTCAGGACAACGAGAAGATCTTCCCTCAATTGGTCAACGTTGTCCAGCGCGTCCAGGCCGACAGCGCTGAGGAATAAGCGATTTTCATTCGATGCGATCAACTAGAAGAGATGGAGCCACAGGTACAAAGTGGCATGGCATGGCGTTTACGAGATATGACATACAATTTGCTTCAATGGCAGCATGGCGCAGGAAGGACTGGGATTCAATTGGAGCCTAAGGCATGATTATAGATTGATAGCACTGAATAAATCGGTTGCTCAACTACATTTGTTAACAATGAATTGTGATTGCTGTGACTTGTGGCTCAAATGGATCGAATGGTGAAATGTTGGAGAGTGACTGGAAATAGTGGCGAGATGAGGCATTTCGTCCATCGGGCCTTACGGCATTAATCACGGCCCAACATGGGCGATGGCGACGTTGATATGCACAATTAATTAATCTCGTCAAATGCCAATTGTCGCATGTCCTACCCTGCATCTGACGGAGATCGGATGCTGCGTTCCCCTGTAGCAGCCGGGATCATATCTCGGTACGTCGCCAACGGAGATCCGATCCCGTCGCCAGCCAATGCCCCGAAATGAAATTTCTCATTCGTTGTAACGTTTGTCAGAAATAGTCTGAGGAACAACTTCCAATTCGCCGTGAATAGTCTGAGGCATACGTCGATATCATGAGATGAGATTCGGCCCAGTTCCCTGGACAACTCCACTAAGAGCCGCTAGCGCGACCCCTTTTTAACCTTTAACCATCCGATCGGGAGGTCCGTAATCTTGCATCAGACCACGATTTGCATACCCACACCAACCAAAAGCCGATCCCTTGAAGGTCCCACGGCATACGGAGAATATCCAAGAGAAGAGACTGCTTCGTATACGATGCTCAAAGCGCTGTGGCTGGCTGGCCTGGCCACCGCCTCAATCACCATCCAAGTCCACCGCGTCGACCCATTGCCCTTCAGCGCGTCAGGTATCGCTACATCAGCTGCTGATCTCTTCTCGCGGAGCTGTCCAGAAGAAGTGGATAACACAGCCTCACTACTCGCATCGTCGTTCGATGATCTCTCGGGAAGAAATGTATTCCCCTCGTCGGATGGGTTCGTGAGGGGTGCTGTTGAGGCGTGGGCTAAGCACGAGCATCTCATCCTACGCCCTGATGAAGTCTGGTTTGAAGTTCTGGCGCAGATGAATGTGTACATGAGTACCCACTCTGAAGCACTCCGGCATTTATTCGTTGATCACTCTGGGCGGGAAAAGATTACAGTGGAGGGCTTTTCATGGGACGCTATCATCGGTGCGTTTAGAGGGGAGATTCAGAGCAGGGTTAAGACCGGGTGGTTGTTGGATTGGATAAAGCCCGGTTTTAGCACTTCGACTGCTCAGGATGACGTTACGGCTACGGTGTTGATGATGGGGCTGATGCAGCATTTCTTTGAGTATGAGGGCATGATGGTATGTGGAATACCGAGTGTGACACTACTAGGGGAGAGGGAGGATTGGGTTAAGCTGGGGGAGAAGGTTGAGAAGTTGAAGGAGTTTGGGGATGAGGCGGCTGGGTTTGCGGAGAGGTTGAGGCCGATTATGAAGAGGTTTGTTAGTAGTTGGGGTGTTGATGGTGAGGGAGATGGGGAGACGAGGTTGTTCTGGGAGCAGATTGTTAGGGCGAAGAAGAAGTGGTCCTGTGGGGAGGGGGCGAGTGAGTGGGATGTTTCAGGGTGGATTACAGGATTTATGCATTGGGATCGTGATGGAAAGGTCAGGGGAGTCTATGAGGATTGGTATGATAATTGGGACGACGAGGATGAAGAAGAAGAAGCTGGAGTGAAAGTCGAAGAGGTCAAGAAAGACGATACCAAGGCTGAGGAAAAGAAAGAGGAGAAAGCTGAAGAGGTTCAGATGGGCATCTTCCCCAACGACTGGTCCATCACAATCGACGGCCAGAGCTACATCCCCTGCACCCTCTCCGACATCAGCATCGGCTACGCCAAAGCGCCCCTACTCATGAAGAACTACCCCTCACCAGGCGTCGACACACAAGCCTATCTCGTAGCAGGCAACGTCGGCGTCGAGAAGAAGAACACCCCCGGGGGAGTCATGGCACAGCCTGTGAGCGGGTGGTTCGTGTATGCAGGTGTTGATGCGAATTATAGCGCTGGGCCGTGGATTGGCAGTGGTGAGGAGTTGGGAGGGATCGCGGCGGGGATTGTGAGCTGCAAGGCTGCGTTGGAGGAGAGTGGTAAAGAGGAGGAGGGGAAGAAGGGGAGGGATGAGAAAGAGAAGGAGAAGGAGAAGGGGGAGCAGGAAGTAAAGGATTTGTAATTGTAATATCTAATGATAGGAAGAAGAGAAGGATATGATGGACTAGTATAGAGTTATGTGGGAAATACAGGCTTGGGGGCTTTCCATCCTCGACAGCAGAAGCTGGGCATATTGTGCATTTTCTTTCCGAGATAACCCCAGGGAGGATCACAGCCGTTCATTTTCTGTTTCCATGCGTCTTCGTTGAATTGGTAGTAGTTGCCTGACATGCGTTGGATGTGCTCTGTGAACAAGATGGGAGAGGGGAGGATGGAAAGGGGAGAGGAGACGTACCATCTTGACAGGCGCAGAGGCGAGGAGGACAGCAGTTGTTTGGTTTGGGGATTACGCTGGTATCGTTAGTAGGTTGTCATCGATACTGATACTCCAATGAGACTGGAGGTTGGGGTCAAGGAAGAGAGAGTGAGATGGGCGACTTGTAGGATAGGCTGGGTTTGGACACACGACATGATATAGAGAGGGAGGGGAGACGTACTAGTGATAGCATCCGCTGCTGGCTTTCTCTGGAACAGGTTTGAGAACAACCGGCTCGGGAGGGGGAGTAGCAGCCGCGAGTGCGACAAGTGTCAGTGTAGCGAGTGTGAACTTCAGGTTTTTTGCTTTGAGCTGAAACAGTATCGAACAAGAGGGGAGGGACAGAGAAAGGGAAGTTCATATAGTTGAGACGTCATGGTTAGGATAGTATGGGATTGATGTGAGATAAGTTTGAGAGTGAGTCAAGTATTGGGAGTGGACGCACGGTTACTGGAGGTTGGGTGGTTCTTTGTTGACTTATGTCGAAAGCAGGGTGAGGGCTGGGTACGGGAATGGGATGCTTTGTCTGTGCTATTTTGGGAACGACAATGCCTGAAATATAAATGAAAGGAAAGGATTGAGGTCTTTTATTGACAGTGGTTCTTGTGATGTGAGTGAGTGTCGCTTGGGCTACTTCATCTTGATGGAGGGGACACCTGGCGATGTTGATCCAATTGACCCTGGTGCGTTTTCTCGCGGTAAACAAACCTTGGTGAGTTACTTTTCATCCACGGGTCAGATGAGAAGTGAAAGGACTCAAGCGATTACAACTCTGCTGAGATGCGATCGGATCAAGTGCTTGGTAGGAGACTGAGCTTGTCCATTGCTCTACTGGATACGACGTACCCATCATCGCCGGGATGAGATGGACAAAGAGGAAGCTTGGTAAGACAGAAAGAATTTGCGGAATGAGTGCCGGAGCTGTATAGATGGGCGGTGATCAGAGAAATGTGTCTTGGGTTGACGTTGATGAGGGAAGAGATCACAGTGCAGTTGAGCGTTGCTCTTGGGGATGTTCCGGCTCGTCTTCGCACGCAACGCCTTTCACGTTGGAAGCAGTTATGGAACAGGACATCTGACGCTGACACTATGTGCTTCGTGTAGTCTCTCTTGTTCGTTAGTAAGTCGGGTTGGAGCATCTTCACGAGACAGCAACGGACAGGCTCTCTACAGCTTCGTATCCCGATGTTCAGAATGCGTAAAACAAGTCGCTGTTGTATATTGTCTACCCATATCTTCAAAGAATGTCTTGTAAACCGTCGCTGAGTCAAATGCGCCCATCTGTCTCGGTCCCTCTCATATGCGGTCACCGTCCACCGGTCGTCGCAATATCTGGAACGGAACGCGGTCGCTGGTACCCAACTCGATAGTGTATCCTTAGGTCATGTCAGATAACTCCTATGAGAAGCCAACATAGCTCGACTTGCATCGTAAACGCTTCAGTTAAGCCCCAAACCATCAGATTAAGTCATTCTCTGCTGCCCTGAATCCCATTATCGTCAATACAAGCAATATAAGCAAGCCTGCCTAACTGATGACTTACCGAATCGGTGGCAGGTGCGGGACACGGTGCCGGGCACGCTATATAACGGTCCGTGTATCGGAAGTAGGCATTTCACACGGAATGACCTCTACCCTCGGAAAAGGGAAAACATACCGCCGAAGTTCAGACAACTCCCTCATGGCGTTTTGTGTCGAGATGCGGAATGTGATGGGGCCTTGGATCTGGTTTGAGCGCATGCTGCGCCAATGGTGAGAGGGAGGATCGCTGTGGAGAGCGGGCCTGATGGTTATCTGTAGCTGAACAAACGATGGCCGAGTCCACGTGACAGTCCAGTAACCATCAATGCGGTCTTGGGGCTCATATAAGAGGCGAGGTAGGGGATGATAATGTTGGGCGAGGTCTGTTGTTAAGAGGGCTTGATAGTAGGCGTTACTCAGTATGTCGGCAAGGGAGGGTTCTTGTGGGCTTTGATCTTGGGAGCGTTGATCTTGGGAGCGTTGATCTTGGGAGCGTTGATCTTGGGAGCGTTGATCTTGGGAGCTGGCGAGTAATCTTGCCAGACGGGATGCATGGTAGCTGTTCATTGTGGTAATGATGATTTAACGAGAGACTGATGATGATATTGATGAGAGAAGATAGACTAGACAAGACTTGGTGATATGATTGAGGACAAGTAAGAGCCAAGTCCGACCTTCCACTTGGATGCTCATGAAAGAAGGAGTCAACCACCTCAGCTCCGGGTGCCTCTGTCATTACCGAAGTATCAGACTTGCTCAGGACCTTTACCCTGAGTGATAAAAATACTTAGGTAAATCTAGCGTAAGCTAAGAGGTTTCTTTAATAGGATTATTTAAATTGCCAGGGCTGGAGACGGTGGTATTATGTTGTTCATTGCCTTTAGCACGGCGAAGATATGTCCTGCGACGAGGTCCCTAGTGTGACTTGGTACGCATTCTGTCGAGGTCGCTGATGTTGACGTTGAGGATTCGCATGCAGGTGCTATGATGAGAAGAGATTGACGGATCAAGGAGGAGAGGGGACTTGGATGGCTGCGAGGTGTTGCTGTTGGCTGTTGGCAGTGCGAAGGTGGAGAGTAAAGGATATGAACTGCACTCGGCCATGCTCACATATACTGAAGTACCTTATTGAGGGGTGTGCTTCGACTGACCTCAATGGTGTCTACTAATTTTCTCATTATTCATTTCTTATACGGTCTGTGTGAACCCTCTGTTGTCCCTTCGCAGGAGATGTCTTGACAAATTGCTTCAACTACCAAAGCTCAGCTCAAAGCACCATGAGGAAAAGAAAGAGAGTCAGCCGAATCAACTTTAAATGATGCCGCGATATAAGTGCCATGTCAATGCTTCATCCGCTCACGCTACCTCAGTTCCTCGCTGACAACCCAGCATCACTCTCGAACACACAAAACCTCAATCCCAACAGCCCTCCCAAACGCAACCAAGCTCTCCTCACTAATCGGTTCATCAAAGATCAACTCCCCTTCCCCACGCCCAATCCTCTCCTCCACATCACCACAAGACTTCGCCATGATGATCGACCACGCACACTCACCCCCCGACGGTCCCCTCCGAAAGCACGACAGCGTCATCCCCGGAGCAATCGAAGGCGGACGATTCGTGTTCCTCCCATCTGGGCTGGCTGCTAGTCTCGCGAGCCATATGTTTCGCGGCCCGGGAACACGCCAGCAGATGTTAACCTGGGGTCCTGTTGTGTCGCAGTTGACAACGTAGAAGCCGCCTGATGCGATGATGCATGCCCGGGAGACTTGGGTTAGTCTACGGCTGGAGAGGACGGGGGCTGAGCCGTCGTAGATCGCTGGAGGTATTTCGCTCCGTGGAGGTTGGCTGTCTTGTTCTTGTGCACGTTGCTGGTACTGCCGTTCTTCTTGGCGCCATCGATTCAGCGCTCTTTCGGGGAGACTGTTGATGTGAACGTAACTGACACAGTCGTCAAAGACAACTAAACCGCTTCGTGGCAACTCGTCAACATCCTCGACTACAGTTTCTACCGTGCGAGGTTCATCATCTGTTTCGAAGGTATTATCGTCAGAATGTCGTGGACGGCCTCGTCTTGTTGGAGTGTGCGGCTGAACAGCGTCGTGTTGATGCTCGTGAAGATGGTGATGTCTTGCCATTTTGTAGTGACTTAGGTTGAGTTGTTGGAGTGGTATGAGTATTGTAGCGGGAGCAGGAATTAATGACGAAAGATATGGCTTGGGTGGAACGTGAGCTGACTTGATCAGCTGCCATTTGCACTGACACGAGGGTGAGGCTGTCACTTCACACTCGTGAATAATTACACGGGGCGCACAGTTTCACACAGCAACTTGACGATTCAGATCAATTCTCGTGCATTCTGTTACATTTCAATGCATTTGTTCAGGCCATACCTCTGCCATCGCTTCGACATCCCTCAAACCGCCCTCATCCTCCTAAGACCTCAAATCCCAAGAGTCTACCAAGCGCAGAAACATCCCCAGGACCACTTGGGACAGCTATGCCCCCACCACGCTCGAAACGGTTCTGATTGTGTTTGCCGCTACTGCTGATGATCATAGAGACGGTCTCGTCATCGGGCGTTGCTGCATATGTGTGAAAGGCAGGCATGTCACCTGGAGCTTCAGGTCGGAGCAAGTCCAAGATTCTGCCGAAAGAGCGCTCCATAGAAGACAGAGGGATTCTCAACAGCCATAAGTTTCGCTGGCCAGGAACTCGCCAGCGAATATTGACTTGTGGACCAGCTGGGTCACAGTTGACGACACGAAAATTACCGTCGGCGTAGATGATGCGAGCCTGGTCGATGACCGTCATGTTGTCGCTTTGTTGAGGGACAGCAGAGTGATGCTGGGATTCTCCCTGGGACTTGGGTCGCGCTGGGCAGCCGCTGGTTCTGGCCTTCTTCCTCGGGGGGCCATCTTGGTGGTCGTCTTCGTCAGACTGGATGGTTGTGAAGCGAGCTTGCGCTTCGGGCGACAGGGCATCCAGGTTGAGGATACTGAAGGAGTCATCGAAAACCACGAAACCTAGTCTCTAATTTTCGGTAATTGTGGTCTCCTCCTGAGTGGGGCTGGAAGAGCGATCCTCGGGGTTTTGCTGGTCTTCGGTATCGTCGTTCTCACTATGCTCCTCCTCCTCATCATCATCTTCAGCCCATGGCTCCTCATTGTTGTGACCGGCCGCCTCTTGGTTCACAGGCTCATAGTTTTGCGGCGCATTTGGAGGTAGACCAGGCGGGAAAGGGTAGGTGTAATGGTAGTGGTAATGATGGTGATGATGGTGGTAGACATGATGCTCTTCCATCTTGACGCACCGACTTGACGCAGTCGGGATGAGCTACCGCAGCGATCTTGAGTGCTGTCTCGTTGCGATCGTGAGATGAACAGAAGAGAAATGAATGAAGCGTGAGGCCGGCTTTTGTTGTTGATGTGAGCGATGACATTGCTGGCGGTCTTTTGCACCGGCAACACAGAAGAGGCTGCCATTTCGCGACTGTGAATCACTGCCCGCAAATGACACACTGCCAGACAGTGGCGCCTCCATTGAGAAACTCTTGATAAAATAATCATATGAGTAAGGGATGATAAAATGAGGGGAGTGTTTTAAGGAAGCAAAGCATTATACCAAGTACTGCATTGTTGTGTTGAAGGTGTGAGCTGACGGTCGCATTCTCAGTGACCATCGACACCACGGGCGCTCACAACCACAACTACCATCGCGACCAGTAATGCAGTAAAAACGAGATCAAAATAAAAATATTTTGCACTCGTGAGATTGATAATTCGCAATTCTCGATTTCATGAAGTCGACGTTGGATCTTCACGAGTGGCGATTTTCCCCAGCTTCAATCCCCTCACAAACATGCATCAAAACTCCTCCCCCAGACCCCAAACCTCCGCATCCCATCATCTCGTCAACTTAACCTTGTGCCAGAAAAACGTTGGCCCAGGAGCTGGAGAAGTCCCTGCTTCTCGGTCTAAAGCTCGGCGAAAAATCCCACACTCAACTCCATTGTGGGTGAGATAAAAAGGGTCCACGAGGTTCAGAGTGACACTTTTAATACTGGGTCGCGTGTTACAGGTTTAGCACGTCAGTCAATTAAAGGCCATCAGCAATGAACCCGGAGGGCATGTTGAAGAGCTGATGGTGTAAAAGACTAGCTATATTTAATGTTTGTTTACTACAATTGTTTCCTACAATAGCTCACTGTCACTGAGCATGAGTTGACAAGTCCCTCAGCGCAAAACAAGGATATCCCATCTCACCAACATCGTCATCTTGGCAGTCTCGTTAAACCCTCATTATGCCCGCCTAGACGCTCGGCTAACTCCCGTTCTTGCGCCGCTATCCGCCTGCCAAGGCATCTTTTCTCCGTCGGAAGGATCGCCAAGATACGAGCGGTTCCGAGTCTCATTGGCACGCATGTTGCATGTACCGTAGAAGGTGGTTGTTGTTGTTGTTGGTGGTGAGATTGAGATTAGTTGCGGCTTAAAAGCTGACGAATCTGAATCTCACAAAACCGCAATTACCAAAAGAAGCAACCCGAGAGTCACTTGAAAGGAATCGTAAAGTTTAATTGCGCAAAGGGATCGGCGTATACGACGGTCTTGAGTAAGAGAGTGTGGATGATCAGTGCTGTCTATAGGTTGAGATAGGAGATAATCCGATGTCGGGTCAATGGATAACAATGCCAGTCTCTGAATCAGTAAGTTAAACTTGTAATCATGCAATTGTTCATATGCTGTGCAGCCAAGTTTTGGCGGTGATGCCAATGTTCTAGCATCGCCAAGTTTACAAGTTCAGGTCCCCAACTGATGATCTCCCGCGGCCAAGAAACGTGCGTTCAACGACGTGCATTTCCTGTCCCTATTTTCTATCCAATTCTATGGAATTGTCAGTAAGATCAACGGTTTGACAAGCAGCTCAACTGGACCCTTTGATCATCTTCCCCAGACCCAATTGTATCGTTGAATGTCACTGCGTGAGGTCCACTGAAAACACCACTGAATGGACCTAACCTCCACTGAAGTAGCGAACCTCGCACTTCGAGATTGTTTTCGCTTGCAAGAGAAAACTCTGAACTTTATTGCACTCTCCACGCCAATTAAACAATTCCAAGGCAGAGCAATTCCTCACAACGATAATTTGTCACCAACAACCACTCCGAACTACAAATCCTGCCTCTTCTCCACGTAAACTGGAACCTCAATCACGCATTGAGCTCTTTGTCCGCTCCTCATAAGGACATGATCTTCAGTTCCCACCCCCGACCTTTGAGGCCCGATATTTTTCACAATCCCCAGGTTCCTGTTTTTTTCCGCCATTTTTTAGACGAGAGCTGTGGACTTCGGGGAAGACCCTTTGATCGTCATCCACATGAACCATCAATTATAAACCACCAGAAACACATTCACTGTGGTCGTTGTTTATCGTATAACTTCACGTGTAGAGCCTCGGCTTTATCATGCTTAATCACTAGCACCATCGTGGACATATCCCCTGAACCAATGACGTCTCTGCCGCTCTAGATGATCGCCACGACAAGGGTTCTCTGGGACCAAATAGAACGTTTCATCCGCTAGCACTCCAGCACTAAAAAAACATGCCGTTTTTTCAGGCGCCTTTGCCGCCTTGCACTTGACGTCACGGCTTTGTCTGCTTTCAGTAACACCGAGGTTTGCCTGCCCTGCTTCTTGGCAGATCCGAAGGAGTCGGAAGACGGCATCTGCAGTGTGCGTGCCCTGTAAGGCAGCGCCTGAGACTCACAGTGGTTAGAGTGACCTACTGTGGTTAGAGCGGCTCCCAGTGCTGTTGATGGGTTTTTAGTGGTGAGTTACAGTGGACGCCTTGTGAACGACTCAGGCATGGGGATCTCCAATATTCCTTCGGTCCACCCACCGTGACACTCCAGGTCTTTCAAGGGACTTTTTCGTTCTTTGACCAACTTTTCGACTTCTTTCAAGGGTGATCGTCACTTCCAACCCGTGGAGATAGTGGACCGTATGTGGAGAACTAGTAATACACTCACTTCAGAATTTTCGCATCCCAGACTCCCTCTCCCACTTACACTCTAATCGCTCTGCACGCTGTCAACATATAAACCCTCTCACCTCCCCCAATGCTTCCCTCACCAAGCTCCCCCATCTTCCCAGCTCTAGACGAGCTCCCCCCTCAAACATAGCAGGTCTATAGCCCCCCTCCGTCACCATGCCTCCCTCCTTTGCGGGCCTGACGGGCAAGAAATTGTCCCTGGCCATATCTACCGTCGCAACGACAGGTTTCCTCCTCTTCGGATATGACCAAGGTGTGATGTCTGGTATTATCGATGCAGACCCTTTCCATGATTACTTCCCTGAGACAAAGGACAGTACCATGCAGGGTTTCGTGACGGCCATTTACGAGATTGGTTGCTTGCTCGGCGCCATGTTCATCCTTTGGATTGGTGATCTGCTTGGTCGTCGAAGGGCCATGATTCTCGGTGGTTGGATCATGATCGTTGGTGTCATTATCCAAGTCACTGCTATGAAGGGCCACAAGGCTCTTGCGCAGCTTATCATCGGACGCACAATCACTGGTGTCGGAAACGGCATCAACACATCCACCATCCCAACATACCAAGCTGAGTGTTCCACCACCACCAACAGAGGTCTCCTCATCTGCATCGAGGGTGGTATCATCGCTTTCGGTACCCTCATCGCATACTGGATCGACTACGGCTGCTCCTACGGTCCCCAGGACCTCACATGGCGCTTCCCCATTGCCTTCCAGTGCGTCTTCGGTCTCATCCTCTGCGTCTCAATGGTCTGGCTGCCAGAATCTCCCCGCTGGCTTCTCACCCACGACCGACACGAGGAAGCCGAGCGTGTCATCGCCGCCATTCGCGGCTTCGAAGTCGACAGTGACGAGACCCGCGCTGAACGCGACCGTGTCGTCGACTCAATTCGTGCCTCTGGTTTCGCTGCTCAGAAGAGCACACCCGTCAAGGCCCTCTTCACCGGTGGAAAGACACAGCACTTCCGCCGTATGCTTCTCGGTTCGGGATCGCAGTTCATGCAGCAGGTTGGCGGCTGCAACGCTGTTATCTACTACTTCCCTATTCTGTGCACCGACATCTTTGGCGATAAGAACTTTGCTCTTCTGCTCGGCGGCGTCAACATGATTGTATACTCCATCTTTGCGACTTCGTCATGGTTCCTTATCGAGCGTGTTGGCCGTCGCAAGTTGCTTCTCATCGGTACTGCTGGTCAGATGCTTTCCATGTTCTTGACAATGGGTTTCCTCATCCCTGGTGGTTCTGACCCTGGTAACAATGCGCCTCAAATCTCAAAGGGTGCTATCGCTGGCCTCTTCACCTACATTGCTTCGTTCGGTGCTACCTGGCTGCCTCTTCCCTGGTTGTATCCCGCTGAGATCAACCCCCTCAAGACCCGCGGCAAGGCCAACGCTACATCTACCTGCACCAACTGGCTGTTCAACTTTGTCATTGTCATGATCGTTCCCATCATGATCTCCAACATCCACTGGGGAACCTATCTCTTCTTCGGCTGCGCCAACGCCACATTCTTCCCCATCCTTTACTGGTTCTACCCCGAGGTAAGCATCCCCACTTCGTCTCTGCAATCACAACTAACAAATCACAGACTGCCAACCGATCTCTCGAGGAAATCGACATCATCTTCGCCAAGGGTTTCGTCGAGAAGATGTCATATGTTCAAGCCGCCAAGGAGCTCCCCTTCCTTTCTCACGAGGAAGTCGAGCGCGAGGCTATCCGACTTGGTCTTGTTGATGAGTCAAGCCGCGGTGGAGTTTTGGAGAAGCCAAATGAGGAGAGCGGCACAGTCCGCGACGACTCTGGCTTCAACTCTGAGAAGTCTTAGATTCACTCATGAGTTTTGTTTCATATAGAAACGTTTGTGTTAGAACACATTTTGGATACCCTTTTTTACTTTAGAGTCATAAAGACTTGGAGCCATTTGGCATTATAGAGTTATAGATCAATAGACCACTATAACGAGCATCAACCTTAACCCATTACCTTGACGACTTACACCGTGATCTCCGCATCTATTCTCCAATTTACAGCGTGTGGCGAAAACTCTTTCCCCGACATTTCCCCCAAGTCCCCCTTGGAGATTAGATTACTCTTACCCAAACCCCGTGGATACCACCAATATGACGATCCCTTCCTTTCAGAATAATTAAAATTGGAGAAGCGCCCGGAGGAGTCCTCCGCGTTTACCCCGAGGAACCACTTGTTTTTGTGGAGTTGGTCTCAGGCAGTTATTTCCTTTGACTTTGAAGCAGTGGTAGGGATGAAATATGGTTGGTTGATTGGTTTACATGCTCATCGGCGGATGTCCCATTTTGGAAAGCCGAGAACTGAATCATTGCACTGCATTCAGTGTGAACAGTCTGTTTGGGAGGAATCATATCGTGGACCTTTTGTTATCAAGACCCATAATTGGCGTATCTTGCATTTCTTACCTGCCCCGTGGGGATACGGTTGCGGGTTTGTTGTTGAAACGCGGAGATAAGCATACCTGAGTGTTGGAAGCGAGAGTATGAGAATGACATCAGCGAAGTTTGGAGGGAAAGCTCTGAATAGTATGGAAGTATGCGATGGCGAGAGTACTGTACAATCACCTTTTCACGACTGGGACAGTAAGAGATCACTGGTAATAAGACCAGGGGTAGAGGAATTTACATTTCTGCTTACCCTAAGCAAGAATCTACACGGTTGAGTCGACACAGTTGGATTAGTTCAACGAACAAGACATCACAAAAGGAACATCAGTCCCAGCTTTCGGCAATTTGCACTTTTGCTTATATCTTCCATACTTTAGACGGAAATTGATTGACGCCATGCTCCTTATGCATAAGACCAAAGCAAGTATATTTGCGCAAGCGTTAAGGTGTAATCCCGAGGTTCAAAACTGATTTGAGTGTATGTGACATAACAGACTAGTTATGTGTATAGTAAGAATGTTCAGCCCCAAGAGACCGAAAGAGCTTCTGACCCTGGGCCAAGCTGTGAAAACCAACTACTTAGATTGCCCGCTAAGATGAAGAAATTCCGAGACTCAAACCTGGTTGTTAGTGTGAATCTCTACACTGTGTACATTTGCAAGGGCCCTCTGTTATATGACCGGCTTTGCTGAGCAAACTCGTAGATCATCCACCCAGTAACAGGCTTTATCCCCAGTCTCGTCTCATCCACCTCCTCGTTATGCCCTCTGTTTTCATAAGCAGGGACATGACCTTCAGGGCCTGGGACAGCTTGCATACCAACGGATCCAGCAATCATCTTGCAATCATACACAGTGCCATTATCGTCAACTTCAACCGGAACAGTGACGTATCCACAAGGAATGTCACTCGTTTCGACGCGGAGATACATCAAATCCCCAAGGGTGCCATTTCCTCGACTGGGGTGCCCAGCCTTTCCTTCGTCGTCCCAGTAACAAAATGCCGTGATCCAGCCTGTCAACTTCTTGGAACCCGACATCCGATATATATTGGCAATTTGGTTCCAGAATATATGGATAGCTGGGTCGGAAGGCTGAGTGAAGGAGAGAATCATGTTTCGAAGAATTGGACGCAGGAGCTTGGCGAACTGGATCGGTTCCTCGCCCATTTCATCCAGCTTATCAAGTCTATTGAGTATGTCTTCGTAGTCGGTTACTTCTCCGAGGAGTGTCACTGAAGGGATACCACACGCCGTACGCATTCCGTAAGAGAAGTACTTCTGCAGCGCGCCCATGAGGAGCACAGAGCCAACAACCCGATCATTGTCAGTGGTTGTCGAGAACGACGGAAGAATCCATTCTCGAAAAGCAGGATCTTTGATGTTCTTTCCGATCTCGAGGGTCATTTTCTGAGAGAGCGCTCCGTAATCAGCAGTATGCAGAGTCGCGAAATCGATGACCTCAAGCCTTTTCTGACCAGCGTGACTAACAAAGTAATCGCGCATTCTTTCAGAATTGGCGTTGATGTAAGCACTGAGTTGAGTGATTATAGCGAACCAGACATCTTCGGGGCGAATGGCGAGATGATGGTGGGTGCTGTATGCGTAGAACGATGACCAGACGAGACCATTCCTCGAAGCTGATACATGATTTTCTTCAAGAGACCCGTTGATAGAGAATGAGCTTTGGATGATTTGTTTGCATCCATCTGCTTCTTGGGAACTAGCTCCTCGTAAGAGCTGTGAAGTGTTTTCAGCTTTGGGGTGTTGCCAAGAACTGGCTTTACTATTGGGAATGGTGACTGTGACAGGCATTTTTGTTGTTGAGAGTATTTATTTGGCAAACAAGTGCTTAGATTATGAAGAAGAAATTCATCTGTAGTGTAGGTTACCACCGTCCTTTTTTATAGGTAAAATGGTCCTGCGACGAAGCCGGGGGGTTGAAAGAAGCTTCAACCACGCTGATGATGGCTGCTTACCTAACTCGGACATGGCCGTAATATAGTCAGATGACCTTGGAATTGTTTCAATTGGTATACGAGAGAGCTGCACGTAGTGGTGCGTGGGAATGCTTCAGGCAGCCGCCTTTGCTGCGGCACAGCACTCGTATTGATATGTTTTGCCTAATTACCCAGCTGCCACGACTCAACAGTCCAATGACTTGACACAGTTCTCCTCCACGATGGCAAAACCTGTCTTGGGGATTGTAACATCTTGTGATTCTGGCTATAGCGTGGGAAGTATACGGCAAGGAGTTGACTCTGTTGGCTATAACTGACCAAGTTCTGACGACTCATCAGAAGTTGGTTTACGTTGATACTCTAGTCGATTTCTTTATCCTAGGCTTAACCTTCATATCCCTCAAACCAGACTTTCAGACAGTGATACAACACGTCAGCGAATTCGTACTTCATAGATCGATGTCGACCTTGGATGTTAATTTGCAGGGCTAATAGCCCCAATAGTGATACTGGCCCTCTTCCCTGACAGGAAAGCCAACTACATCCCCTTCTTCAGGAAGAACCCAGCAAGCGTCGCTATATGTTCCAGCTGCTCGAGTGAAACACCCTCACTCCTCGACAACTTCTCCGCGACGGCACTAAACGTGTGCCAAACCTCTATATACTTATTATTCGTGTTCTGATTAGTCCCAATCCAATTCAACGCATATGCCATCTGCGCACGGCTCCGTATCTTCTTCAAATCCTCCTCATCGATGGAAATATGGCTGTAGTTTATAGCAACCTTTGGCTCCAGCTTTCTATACTCTCTGGTATACAGGGCTCCTAATCTCACGCACTCGATCACAAGCGCTGCTAGGCCTGCTGCTAGACCGTTGGCGACAGAACTACCAGAGTGAGCGTCGAACTTTTCTAACTGAGTTTTCGTTTCGTTGTTATCAATTACAACTTCGTGCCCGGGGAAGATGAAATCGACGGTCTGGGAGTCGCCGACTGTGTCGACTATGTTGCCGGTTGCTTTTGCGGCGCCGATTCTGAAGCAGTGATGGCTGCTTGCGTGGGGATAGCTGACGTCTGCGGACTGCCCTTGGTCGCTGGCTGCGCAGAATATGAGACAGCCGTGTTTGCCGATGGCGTTGAAGATTGCGGTGTCGAACTGGCTTCTTAGTGGTTCTTCTGGGGGTTTGATGGTCCATGACATGCAGATGATCTGGGATCCCCTCTTGGCAGCATAGTTGATAGCCTAGCTCGTTAGAATCTTGAGCCAAAATCACTGAGGATGTCTCTCACCTTTACGGCACTGTCGGGCTTGATCTGAAGCTTCTTGGAATTTCCTGACCAGAAAGTTTGTAGCTTTATAACATGGATAATAGCACTGGGACATATCTTATGAATAAGCCTGGCCATCAGCGTCCCGTGGCCAGAAGGTGAACTCCAGTATGGCGGTACACGGGGTGTCGAGCCTCCAGTTTGGTGATCAAAGCTCTGGCCTAGAAACGTGCGATCTCTGGTGTCATTTAGATCGGGATGCATGATATCAACGCCATCGTCAATCAGCGCCACTTCGACCGGCGGCAGAGAAGGGTTACTGCCCCTGAGAGCTTTGATCTGCTTGAAGCGCTTTGAGAAGCTCGTCATGCATTCCATCCATTTATGAGGATCGATTGAGCGTTGCAATGGCTGAGGTCTTGCGTCTGGGACTTGGACGGTTGCCATGCGCACGCCACCGCCTGTTTTGGGAGGGATCACTTGAGGTTTAGGTCTTCCTTCGGGCCAGGAGTCATGTAATCGTTTCTCAAAGGCGTTGAGATTCTCTATGGTTCGTTCGCGAGACTCAAGCCCCTAATGGATCATGTTAGTGATAAGACAAGCTAGGGCCCTTTTAGGCGTAGACGCACTTCATGTTGGAACAAGTGAATGACTTCCAGCGTAGGAATTGAAGCTAGACCTTCCTTCTCGGACCACGCTCTGAGAGTCGAGTTGCTGCCACTCCATTGGAGATGAACTTCGCGTAGATGAGTCCCGATCTTGCGAAGGGTGAGTGCATCGAGATCGAGACGTCTCCAGTCGAGAATTTCGACACCCTACAATATCTCAGTGATTGACAATCCCCAGGATAACCGAAACTTACAAGGTCCTTCAAACACTCCTCGATTGCCTCGTCACTGTGTGATGGCTTTTCCATGTCCTCGACAACAACCTGTTCCATTATTCGTAAGAGGAGTTAAATAGGTTCTTGGATATCTCACCTTGATGATTCGAGTGACAGACTTTCCTCGTAGCCAGTCAAAAAAGAATGTCATATCCTGATTCTGTCAGCGACCAAGTATCTCGCATAAACAGTCTTTCTCACCTTTCTTCCTTGATGCCTCACATCAGGCTGTTCCCTACCCCCCTTGAGCCGAACTCTCGGAAACCCAACGTACTGTAGTGCTGTGTCAAACTGCAAATGCCCGAAATACTTCTTGAAGTCATCCTGGCTGACTGTGTTGGGTGGTCCAAAGTCAAACCAAAACTCTTTATCTGGATCATCTGGCAATCGTAAACTATCCGCTGCTCTCTCTGGGCTTAGTTTCCGCAAGGTCTCAAGTTTTAGTAGGTTGCCGATCGTTCTCGCTGCATCTTCCATCTCCTTCTCCTTCGACCCAGGCTTTTGCACTATGTCTGGTCGAGTTGCTGTCCCTGTCTTTACTCGAGTTATCGGCGTCAGAGACGGAGATTGCACTGGAGTTGTAGCGCCTTGGGGAGTTGCAGCAATGGAACCTCTTCGCTTGACACCTGGCGGAGGACCCATGCTTGTCTTTTCTGAGCCCGACTTTTCTGTCCTTGTTACGACTCTCTTTGCATCCTTCTTGGGATCTACGCCTCTTTCAAGTTTGTACTCTACTCTCTTTGGGGCTGCTGCTGCTGGCTCTTGGACGGCGAGATCCTGAGCACGTCTTCGTCGACTCTCCAGGAACTTCTTCCGGGTGAGATGGTGGTATTGGTAGACTGATAGAGTGCGATTGAAGTCATCTGGATCTTGAATAGGTTCTTCCAAGAGGTCAGGACATGAGCGTAGGATCTCCTTGACCACTTCGACTTGACTGTTGCAACAGCACTCATACTCGACTGCACGGTGAAGAGCAGTGCGACGCTTTGTGTCCCGTACAAAGAACATGTCTCTAGGCACAAAGCCGCATATCTTGGTAAAGAACTCTGTTCTCTTGACTCCATTGTCAAAGATACAAGTCGCAGCGGCATGCAAGCAAGTAGTCTCACTACTTTCATCCCTGTTCTCATATCTTTTCTGCAACAGAGCATTATACTCTTGGCACGTAGCATCCTTAATCTTTAAGCATACTGACCAACCGAACAGCGAGTTATTAGCCAACAGCGCGCTGGTAAGAGGAATGCGCTTGTTGTTATCCGGTGACCAGAGTAAGTGCGCTGGGAGTTTGCGAATGGCTCGCCACATCAGCCATTGGAGGTTAACGGGCGGTTTGTGAATTCTGTGATCGTAGTCTGCAAGAAAGTGAAGAAAGTTCTTCCCTTCCTCGGTCGTTTTGTGCCATTCACTAAACCTGTCGTTGACGAATTTGAGCTGCTGGCTTGCTTTGTCGCTTGATTCAGATGATTGTAGGTTATTAGATAGTATTCGTGCCTCTTCGACATGACGCTCAAATTTGGCTTTGACGGGATCTTCGTCTAGTAGTGTTACGGACGCAGCTGGGAATTCATCTTCGTCAAGGTAAACTTCGTCATCATCTTCTTCATGCGCTTGGGAGAACCCATTGGTGGCTTCATCGCTGTGGTTCATAGTGACTCAACACTCATGAAATGGTATGCAATTGGAAGATGAGAATGAATGAGAAGGTTGATTACGTGCATAAGTTAGAGCGGGTTTGTCAACTGAACAGGCCTGAGCCGCCTGACAACAGGGGTTATCAGCCTCCTCTTGGGGGCATCCACCTAAGTTCTGATTATTGGCTCTCGAACCGCCCAAATCTCTCCATGGTCAGCATGTGCCACTCGCTGCGGGGCGATATGACCTGGGTGCTAGGTACCCTTGCAGGCGTCTCCAGATCGAAGACCCTTGTGAGCGAGAGGAAGGCCTCGCGAGGAATAAAGGTTTGAATTATCGCGTAATGAATCAGACACTTAAAGGTACTATATCCTCACAGTATCAGTACATATCAGAATCTTGACAGTGATGGCAACCTCACAAAGTTACGACCAGGCACATGAGCCGCTCTTGGTCTTCGAAACACCTTTGGAGCACCAGGTCATCGGTGAAGATGACACTGTACGAACTGAAAATGCCTCGATGAGCGACTGGGAGAGACGCAACATCATTGAACGCACCAGCGGCAGCATCCATACTCGCGTTGAGCTGCTCTCAGTCATACACGGATCATATAGCGAAGGAGGAGACAAAGCCACACTCATGGTTTTCCGTTTCCGCTTTGACCCTCAGAAGAGCTCACGAAGAGTCATCCGAGCCAGAGTCGAAATCGAGTTCTTCGCCACGGACGATTCGTATCTCGAGGTAGATGCCATTGCGCCCGAGGAACGCTGGACAGTGATACCGACCACCGACACAGAGACGACAACGCGCGGCGGTCAGTTAAACCTGGGTGCTTCAGGCGTACCACTCCTCGAGGCCGGTGCTACAGCAAGTCTCGAAAGATCGTACAGCAGGGATGTCACCGGTGCGACTACCATTACAGGCGGCATAAACCTCAGTACGGAAAAGAACTCGGGCGAGTCGACAGTGGCAGTGTGGAATCTGCAGGAGAACGAGCGCCGTAAGACGGGCGTGCCGGATTCAGTAACGACTGCGATTCTTGTGCGACGAGCTGCAGATGAGCGGTTTAACGCTGAGGTCACACTGCAAGCTGACGTTGACTGGGTCACCGGGTGGGAACGCAGGCTTTCAAAGATTCCATTGGATGACCCGATTCTTTTCAATCCTAGAGAGACAGGGGGGCCTAGTAAGAAGGGGAGGTCTTACGGTGCCAAAGACTTGGCGAGTGTTGATTTGAACGAATTGTGCAAAGTGAGGATGGCTGTAGAGGCTCCATTTGCTGTTAAATAAGACTCTGGAATGGATATTTGGTGATAGATTTAGTCAGTCTGTGGGAGTAATCATTCTATCAACCCATTACTTGTAGCCTCACTGAGTCACAGACCATCCCGAATCGGCCCGTGCCCGCCCAAAGGCTTAGGGCAGGGATATGCATGTAAGATACAGGGATCATGGGGATACCTGCACCTCGCAAACTAGTCACACTGATTATCGGCAGCGCCGCCTGGAAGTATGTCCGTGCCTAGTGTGCCTCCCCCTCTTTGGAAGGACAATCTCTTGTTCAATCTTTGTGAGGCTCTCGCAGTAGGCTTTGAGTGCCCAGCGATACTTGATTTGTGTTATCGGTGAGAAGCCTGATCTCAACCAGCAGAGCTGGACGCTCTGTTCTGTTGTGACCATGGTCGAGATAGTGGTTCCCGAGGTTGAGAAACCTGCTTTGGAGATCCAGACAGCAGTGGATGAGAACCATGACGAGCAGTTTCAGAAGTGTAAGTCACTTGAAGGAGTCTCATTGTGAATGTAGTATATACTGACAGCTTCGCAAAGTCGGTTTGAATGTAATCCAAGATGGAGAACAGGAGCCGAACCCTGATGACGCTTCAAATCATGAGACCCCAGTTGTTCCTTTTGAGTGAGTACTGGCGAATCGGTTCACAGGTGTTACTGACTACTGACTGCATGGCTTTGTAGTGTCATTCTTGTTCACGGAATCTATGGTTCAAGTCCAAATTCGTGGACAACTGAAGGATCTGACACAATATGGATCAACAAAGCCCTTGCTGGCGCATCAGAGAACAAAGGACGAATATTGTCCTACGGTTATCGTACAGATATCGAGGCTGGGAGATACTACACTCCCTGCGGTGTCTATCAAGAGGCGGAAGCTCTTTTGGAAGCTCTTCGAAAGCTGCGGACATCCGAGATCATGGTTTGTCACCTTGATTAGTTTCCCCGACGCTACTAACTCATGTCTCAAAGGAGACTAGACGGCCGATACATTTCTTTTCTCACGATGTTGGAGGGACTATCGTGAAGGCGGTAAGCACTCTTGCAGTGGCGGGCTGGAACTGGAGCTAATCGACGTAGGCGATGGCGCTGGCTTCTAGCGCCCACGACAAGTACGCTGATATACTGTATTGTACACGTGCTATGGTATGAAGCTCGGGTCAGGTGTACTCTGTGGGTTGCGCTGACTGGGAACTGATAGTATTTCTTCGGCTATCCACATAGATATTCCTCCTTTGGCCTCTTGGAGGAGGCTGTGTTACGATTGATGGCCCAGCAACATCAGAAATGGTCTGGCCATATGGTTGGATACGCCAAAAGTCTCACAGAGACAACCATTAAAGTGAACGACGCGTTTCTCGGTACCCAGATGCTTACTCAGGTCAACTTCATCAACGTGGTTTCTAATCGCCACCTGTACCCAGCACAACAGGTTCGTGTATAACAGCTTGGCAATATGACAAGATCTGTGAGGCTACTGGTTGCTAATTACACTGACAAAGATCTTCCCTCTCTGCATGTCCACCATGGCCATTCCGTTCGAGCGAGTGGTGAAGATGGAGAAATCAAACTGTGATTTGATCCTTGCCACAGAAGATGGGTACCACCCGGTGAATGATCTCGCGGACGGAGACTGGCTTAGTAGGTTATTCATTGACCAGAAGACAATCGTTAACATTGTTGCTAGTGGGAGACTTGACAGACGACCAGCATGTAGCTCTTCGTAAAATGATCAGTCAAGCCTCGCCAGTTCAGCCATATCAGAAAGTCGACGAAGACTGGCACAACTCAGATCTCCTTGAATTACCAAAGCAAAAAGAAGCGCTCATAATGCATATGAGATGTTCTTCTGGTACCGAGGCAGAAACCGAGAACGCAAGCTACTTTCTGGACAAGAACAGAAGCGGCATATACGATCCGTTGCTGTACATGAAGTTCGACGCTCATGATACTCGGTTCAACAACTGTGACGCTATGCTGCGGACATTTCTTGCACGATTCCTAAGCAACAGAATGCAGACTGGCAGTTTCGTGAGCAGACCATTGGATACATTTGTCAGATGCGAAGCGCTGCACCGAACAAATTTGTTTAGCGAGCTGTGGGATATACAGGGCACAAAGGGTAAGTAGAGACCGAGCCAAAACGATTACTTGAAGAAGCTAACTTGCTACAGCTCTACAGGCTGGTTTCTACGTCCTGGGATGCCTTGATGAATGTGACGAGTCTTCGATATGGTTTCTTTCCGAGATTCACAAACTTCTTTCCAGGAGCGAAAATTGTTTCAGGATGTTGATAACCACGACAAAAGGAACGAAAGGAGACATGGATATTGCCTCTATGTTATCGAAGTTTCCTCAAGAGCTCGTTAAGACTATTGAGTGCCGTCCCAAGAAGCCTGCGTCATTTCCTGTCAAGACCAGAGCATCTCGAGTCATAAGTCAGCTGGGGGCCTGTGCTGGGACTGACCTGCATCAAGATGTACAACGCATACTCTCAAGTTGTGAAGATGACTATGATCTGAGCGAGTTGGTCGTTGAGTGGCTCGGATCAGATACGGAGAAAATCGCTCGTGCCAAAACACTGCTCGACAAAACCCTCACACCAGCTCTACTCTTTACAGAGATACTAGAAGACATTACCGAGGCTCTTCGACCCTGGGCCAACTTTCTGCTGTCTTGGCTTCTGGTTTGTTACAGGCCTCTGCTATATGATGAGTTCTGCCGCGTCTCTGATGTTGTGTGGTTTCACTTAAGGGGGAGTGAAACTACACGCCCAGCTTCAGTTGATATCCGACGCCATTTTCACGGGCTGATCACTTCTGTGAATGGAGAGATCAGATTCAGACACCCGGCTACCCGCTCATGGCTTAAAAGCCACAGCTCTACCAGCAGTGAAGAGTTGTGGTATGATGTATCTGAGACTGGCTGCCATGAGAGGGTGCTGCAGGCTTGCATAGCCTATATCCAAGATGCAGCTAGGAGGCCAGAAGATGCGATCCAGTCTATTCCCTATATTCTTGAATTCTGGCCCAAACACTGGCATATGACAGGGAAATCCGAAACAGAAATCTTGGACTTGTTTGAGAACGACTTATTATTTCGATTCTGGACCAAGTCACTTTTCGCTTTATCCAATATTCAACTGAAGCCTTCGCCAGCAAATGTCAAGGCTCTTCCTGTTGCAGCTCACTTGGGCCTTGCAACTGTTGTAGAAGCGCTTGTCGAAAGAAACAAAGACATGGCCGATGACAGAGGTCAGGCATTGGTTGAGGCTTGCAGAGCGGGACACGACACAGTCATCAGGGATCTAATGGGCTCATACTCAGATGGTCTCGATGTTGGGGATGACCATCTACATGAAGCTGCCAGAGTTGTAAGCCTATCATACAACGATGAAGCACTCAGGGAGCTTGTCAAGGGGTTACCTGAGTCTTTAAAATCCCCCCTGAAGGCAGAAGAGTCTGAAGAGAAGCTCAAGGTAGTGGAGAATCAGGAGAAGAACATTATCCAAGAACATCCACCGGCAGAGGTGACAAGGGACGATCAGGAGGCTACAAACCTTGAGCCTGATGAGCATACTTCCGGCCCATATGATTGGCTTATGATGCCAATGCACAGAGCAGTCAGGTCAGGAATGATTGATGTTGTCACCAAATTACTCGAACTGGGAGTAGGGCCTGAACCCACAAAAGGCACGACCCCTAACGGCAGTAGCTTCATCTACACAACATTGATCAACTCCCATGTGAACATCGCCAAGCTGCTTGTCGATGCAGGAGCAAGCCCATCAGCTAAGAATATACAGGGATATACTCCGCTGCATGTAGCCGCCCGGTGGTCTTCTGGCGACACAGTCGAGTTCTTGCTCTCATGCGGTGTTTCCATAGCCGACAGAGACTTGGTGGACCGCTCGGCCTTGGAAATAGCTGTTATTTGGGGAGATTTTACTACTCTAGAGGTCATGCTCTCGCGTAAGGACGAGATTGAGCGCATGGAGTATGAGCCAGACTTACACCCGGTAAATCTCGCTGTCGAGAACGAGAATAAGAGGTGTCTGGCGCTTCTTCTCAGCCATGGCTTTAACCCCAACATTGTTACCCCGAAGGGTGACACGGCGTTGAGGATGGCTATTCAGGCTAGAAGGCTTGATATTTGCAAGATGTTGCTGGAGAGCAATGCTGATCCAGATCTGACGCCCGATAAAGTTAATACGCCCCTTATCCAGGCGATTTCTGAGGGAGACTTGGATATCGTCAAGCTGCTCATCGAGAACAAAGCCACGATAGACAAGCGTGAAGCGCCACCTGATGACGGATGGTCACGCACACCGAGTACGTATTTGATATGTCTAACGGGACACAGTACTAACTTTTTATAGTGCAAGTGGCCGTCGACTGGAACCGTCCTGAGATTGTCCAGTATCTTATTGAGAAGGGAGCAGACCCCGATGCTCGAGACTCGGACGGAATCCCAGTGATAGGCTCTGCGGTAAGCGGCGGACATACAAACATGGTACAGTGGCTAGTGGGTGCAAAGGCAGACGTGAACGTCATCTACCACGAAAACAAAACCACGCCGCTACACGAAGCGTGTCCCCATCCTGAGATAGTTCGTATCCTTCTCGAGCACGGCGCAGACATCAACAAGGGCAACGCAGACTCACGAACAGCACTGAACTTTGCCATTTGTTCAAACCATCTCGCCACTGTTCAAGTTCTTCTTGACGCCAAGACTAAGCCTGATATCAATGCAGCCGCGATCTACGGGGATTTACGCATGGCGATCTCTGACGGGTACATTGGGATTGTTGAGGCGATGCTCGAAGCTGGCGTTGACGTCAACAATACCAATGAGAAGGGCGAATCACTACTGGCGAGTGCTATCAAGCTTAATGTGCACAGTGCCATGATCCGCAAGATTCTCGAATACAATCCTGATCTGGAAATAAGAGACAAGAAGGAGAATACGGCACTTCACTGCATTTCCAGATTCACAACCCTCGAGACGGTCCGACTTGTTGTCAACGCTGGTGGAAGACTAGACGTGTTGAATTCTGATAAGAATACGCCATTGATTATGGCTATTGGGGCTGAGATGGATGATGTGTTCTTCTATATGCTGAAAAAGGAGCCTTCGCTACTGACGCAGAACTTTATAACGTCCCAGCAAAGGGTCTCAGCGCTTCACGAGGCGTGTAGGTTTGGATCACTGGCTATGGTTCGGTCACTGATAGACCACGACATGGACATCAATTCATGCTGCGAAGGGCTGTATGGAACACCCCTGATATCAGCAACACTCCGCAGCGACCTACTGTCATCTCCCCTAGCCAGCGACATCATCGCTCTTCTCCTCGTGAACGGAGCAAACCCAAGGACTACAGGGGGTTTATTCCAATACCCTCTCATCTCAGCATGTCTATCTTGCCCAGCCGATACTATCAAACTGCTCCTCAACTCAGACACCTCGCCCCAAGATCAGGACTCCTTGAATCGCAAGGCAGTCCATCTGGCGTGCTATAATTCTCTTGCGGTTGTCAACCTCCTGGAGATTCCTGACTCGGACTTTGCGGTTAGGGATGTGGCTGGCCGAGTACCTTTACACTATGCTGTGATGACAGAGGATGTCCAACTGTTGGAGGTAGTGCTAGAACGCTCTGAGAGGGTTGGTGTTGGGATTGATGTGAAGGACGATGATGGTTGGACACCACTGCTCTGGGCTGCTCGTGCAGCACGGATCTGGAATCGACAGCTCGAGGGCGAGGGTTCGGCCAGTGTTATGATAGCATTCCTCTTGAAGCATGGAGCTGATCCTGGTATCAAGGGGTGCGGTGTTGACAGAGATTGGACAGTCTGTGAGGTGGCATACTATCACCACGCCGACTTGTAAGCACTTCCTACTATCCACACTAATAAAAGCTAATATGTTCTAGCGTCGAAGACTTAATAGACCAGCCAACTCATATGAAAATCAGGTCCAGAAAACGGGGTAGTGCTCCAGAGTCTCACTACTGTGATTGTTGTTTGATCGAGTCTCATGGTATTTTCTTCGACTGTCAGATTTGCTTTGACTTCAGTCTTTGTTTCAAATGCCACAGGAATGCTGACAAGATACATCCTGAACATTCGTCGTTTGTTCGATGTGGGAGTGAGTGGGTTGAAGATGATGTTCCCAAGGATGAGGATGTTCAGGAGATTAGTTTGGATGATGGTATTGGCGATCAGGATGTGCTGTTGGACCTAGAGGAAATCCCCTACGAAGACTTTGATAGCGAGGTCTCAGAATAGATGTGTAGGCGGTGCCGAATCTGTTAAATATATCCAAACTGAGCTTGACAAGAGTGTCCCGGATAGGACTCTTCAGCCTAGCAGATTGGTGAGTCTTGTCAGATAGCATGCGCTGTAATGGTGAGCATACTGGTCAACTCAGATCTATTTGTCTATCGTTTATAAGCTTGAAGATCTTCCTGTATCTGAAACTTCCTTCTGCAGCCACTCTCTCCAACCAGCATCTTTAAGAATATGTCTAACTCTCGCCTCAAGCCACTCCGTATTTCCCCAGAATCCCCACGATGCTTGGAAGCGACACCAATCAACAAGGGCGCACTCCCAATGCCGAACAAGAGTATCCCAATCATAGTCCAAGGGCTCTTTATCAGAAGGTTGGCGGCTCAACAATGTCTCATGGTAGAGATACAATAAAGCCTTTTCACCCCGGTCCATGTCCATTTCTTCAGGAAGGGATGGACAGTCGGTTAGCATATCGAGAGGGACAGAGCATGTGAATAACTTGGCCAAATCGCAGACTCCCAGTCCGAGGCCGACGTATTGAAAGTCGAAGAAGCAGACATCATCTCCCGACTCCGTAGTGAAGAGATTCTCAGACTTGACATCGCCATGAATCAACGTCTCGAAAGGCCGACCGGTTGGTGTGAGGAAGTCAGCTACCACTTCGGCAGTAGACTTACCCGATCCTTGAAAAGGCGCGCAAAATGCATCTGACCACTCGGAGTATGTATCGCCAGCAAGAGACTTGTACTCTGTACGTCGAGTCGCGAGATAAGTGTATCCTCCGTTCAACCACAACTTGCTTCCTCCAGGTTGACCCGCATTTCGTCTTTTGTACTCATCCAGAGGAGGGAGGAGATACTCGTCTAATTTTGCGGGGAGAAATTTCCAAGAGTTGCTGTGAAACCTGGCAAGCCATTCTAGAGCAGATTCAGCTTGTCGGGGATTCAGAACAGATCGCTTCCCTCCTTCTACAGGAAATTTGACTCTCAAATCGGTAAGAATCGTAGCAGTGAGGCCCCGTAATTCTCCATCTTCATGTTTTGATTTCCAGCTTGAGGTCAGACAGTGAGCTACTGCGACGTCGTCATCCAATTGAGGAGCAACATGTTCGTAAAAATACTGCTCAACGTCGTAACTCAATATCTTCCGCAGATGGCCTTCATCTGTGGGACCAGGCGGCGGCGATATAAGCTTTAGGATCAAGAAGAACGTATTGTTCGACTCGGCTGCATGCAGGTACTTGCGCACTCTGCCAGCTGTTTCAGCGTCCTTTGGTTTTGCGGTGAGTGCGCAGATATGGCCGTATCCTGCCCACAGTGACTGAATCTCTTGGAATGATGTGATCTTCAAGCCTATAGGCTCTAAGAGAACCTCGGCGGCACGTCGGGAGCTTGTGTCTGCCATTTTGAGTTTGAAGTGAGGTTATCACGAAGTTAGAGTTAATCAGCTACTCTACGTCATTGAAGCTCAGCTCATCGGCTCGGATTATCATCTCGGAGTGGGGCGACTGAACCTGGAGGCCTCGGTTCGATGGCAATGGTACGTGAAGTTGCAGTTGAGGCGAATCCTCTGCAAAAGGATTGCAATCGTAAAAACACCTACTCAATCGAGCGATATACACGAGGGGGGATTACCATAGCCTCGGTGATCCATGTTCTGATACAGAGGATGCCTAGCGAAATGATAGGGCTGAATAGCGACAACCCGCCAAGATCCCGCAAAGGCATGGCGGTGAATATCGGGGAATAGGTAATTGATTGACGTAGGCTATGCACACCAGCGATTCATAAGGTCCCTATATCCCCTTTCTGAATGGATAGCAGACAGCCACGTCGACAAACTTGGTCAGACCAAGCTGGCTATCACAGATGCGGGCTACCTCAATTCCATCATTTGAGGATCAATTACCCCTTTGATACCACGCCTCTTTTGAAATACCATAACGGGATGGTAGTGGCTGCGGAAAACAAGCATAAACTGCCACCAAACAAGCTTGTTAGACGAGATGATTCACTCGCTTACCCCTGTTCCCCAGGGCTGAGTTGTAAGCAAGGGTTGCCAGTGGCGTTGCAGGGGAATGCCACTGATTATTGGACGACATGGTTCCTGAGGTTGAATTGGGTTGAGGATAAATATTCAGCTCATTTCCCGACTTTCAGTAGACTTAATTCTCTCAGCCAGACCTACAAACACCATTATGCGGTCTTCGATTACCATCGGTCTTCTCGCTGTCGCGCCGTACATGGCTGATGCGGCAAAGAGTACCACCAAATACTCTACTGAAACAGTCTTCTTACCTCAGAGAAAAACTGGGAGTGCAACAAATATTTACGCCTCCCTTATTACGGAGACTGGATCAAAGACTGAATATCTCCTTGCTTGCCAGACAAACTTCGGCACTTCATACTCTTGCGATGGAGACTTTCACGGTATTACCGTGACTTACGAAGAGTCGAGCATGAATCTTGCTGTCAGCTCAACAACATATGACTGCTCCCTGGGCTCAGGCTCAGCAGTCTGCGCAACCATTACCGCTACTCAGACTGAGTCCGTGCAGTCGCGAACGATTCCTTCGTCGGAGAGTGAACGCTGGATGACGCCTATCACTTTTGTTGATCTTAATAAGAGGAAGACCACGAGTGCCAAATCAACAGCTTCTAAAGCAACAGAGACAGCGAGCAACAAGCTTTGCAAGAGGAAGACTCCCCATGGAAGTTCGGACTCTGGAGACAGTGGAAGTAGCGGAAGTAGTGGAAGCAGTGGTGATGACAGCAGTGGTTCCAGCAGCGGGTCCAAGAGCGGTTCTGGATCTGCAGCCGATGATGATGACGATAGTGGCAGTTCATCCGCGAGCCCTACGAAGAAGAAGAACAATGACGACGATGGGTGTTCGGCGGGATCTATCACTTCTTGGAGCTGGGGAGTTGTGGCAGTTGGGTTGGGTGGTTTCCTTGGTGTAAACATGGCATAAGATGTGCTAATGCGCTCTATTCATTACTTCACTTGAACATATTTCTGGAAATAACATATTCACTGCATTACCGCGGGACTTTTGAACGAGGTGCCTGGATTGGATTACACTAGTAGGCCATGCTGTGTCTAGCGCATACGCGCCACTCAACAGTCTTTCTTGGATAAAGAGACGCTAGATTGATCGGATACATCTCATGTAGATCATATCAAATTCGCTGTCCAAGCCTTTAGCCCAGATGCTCACCGATCAACGCTCACAATCTATTCAATACCGATTTCTCAATGACTAACATAAGGCTCACGCTACATAACAGCACAACAACCGATCTGTGTAAACGTCCGTCTCGGTGTCGGCAGCGGCGGCGGCCCTCTCGCCGGAACCCCAAACTGGGCAATACGCACCGGATACCCGGGATTTCTCCTCAAAAAGTCCAGCGGATCATACATCGGCTTCGTCACCATCGCCAACACCTCCTCATAGTAATTCAAAAGCGGCACGAACTGTTTCGTGTGCGTGAAGCAGCGTTTCTTGCACCTAGCAGCCGGATACGCGTCAACATTGCACTTTGTTTGTACCCCGTTTCGCGTCCGTTTGCTGAACCAGAACTTTTGGTTATACCTCCAGAAGTCAATGACATGCACCTGGAAGTTATATAGATCGTATGCTGCGAGGCTTTCGTACGTCCAGCGTGGTTGCCAGGGACTTTCGGGGCCTTCAGCCGTGGGACCGTAGGGATGGGGAACTGTAGAGGCGAGGCTTAGATCGATAAGTATGCCGTCGATGTACTGATCTGGTTTCAAGTCGCGAATGACGATTCCCAGGAAATGAAGCTTGTGCAGATCTTTGAGCATCCTGGCGAAGTACTTCACCGCTACCATCTGGTCATACATATCCCGTTGCTTCGAGTCATGGTACGGAGTCATTTCGACCCAGTCTTTGACAATACCGTAGAGTAGCCCGGGCGGAAATCCGTTTAACTTTTGGGCACCTGCAGCAGCGAGTTTTCTTCTAATCTGTCTTGCCGTGAGAGCAACCCATCCATAGACTTTGACAGCGATGGACTCGGCTTTCTGCTCCTTCAGTCTACCGAAAGCTCGACACTCATTCTCAAACGGTGAGAAATACCAGTCAAATCCGTCACAGCAGCTCCATGATCCCTTGTGGCCGTAGATGTCTCTGGTGTTGATATCCTCTTGAGGAGTGGTGAACTGCGCGCTATTAGAATGATGTATTGAGGGAGTATGACGACTTACGAATTTTATGGCGTAGAGATGGCGGCCGATCCGTGCCTTCACGACGACGCCGTGGGCAGAGTCGACGTCGAGGGCTTTGAGGAATATGGCGTTAGGATCCATTAGATTGCCATCGAAGGGATGGAGCTTTGGCCCCATGTCTTTGGGTAGCCAGGGCTTCTGCTTCACCCAGTTCTTCGCCATGGCTTATGGCATAGAGGTCAGTGAAAGCTGGTTTACTAGCGTGTTGGACGCCGTGAAGGTGAAGGTATTGAGCATAGCAAGGGGATTTGCAGGGGAATTTTGAGCTTCGTGTTGTGGAGGGCATTCAGCTGTAATTTATCCGAGTATCAAGGTTTAAAGAAGGTTCTTCTATCTGAGCGAGCGATTTGGAAGATTCATGATAAGGCAAAGACCTTTATAACAATTATTGCGATATACTAAAGACAAAATCCAGGTTTCAAGTGCAGCGACATTGATGATATCTTCCCAAGCGATTGCAAGAATAATAATTTCGTATATTCTATAGCTCAGAGCTTTTGAGACCGGCCTCAAGATGCACTGCTCGACGATCGCGCTCGTGGTGCCGTGCGAACTTAAGCTCAAACCGTCAAGCTAATTTATAAGGCCACCAAGCACATCCACACGTTGTGACATAAAGTTCTCTATCAAGCTCAGATGGGGACACATGTCCACAAATATGGATCGTCCTAGGAGTCGGGAACTGCACTTAGCTTCATTGATAGGGCTGATATCACCTGTCTAGAACACTATGCAAAACTTCAATTGGCTGTCACTCCCTCGAAAAAGTCTGCAATGACGCAAGCAATGGCTGCGCCGCTCAGCAGGCACGTGCCATCAAACGCGACAAAAGATAAGCAAAGTATCTTACTCAAGCGTCATCCTTTAACTTCACCTTACTGACTCATTCACAAATCTCAAGCAACTTAAAATGTCAGACGCCGTATACTCAACACCAGAGTGGTATCTCAAAGCCCAGGATCAAGATGTGAGCAGCGACATAGGCCGCCTGACAATTTATCATCTCGGTTTCAAGCAGGCAGCAGAGGGGAAATTAATATTCCCGTCGATTGACTTCTCGACGCAACCTCAAGCTATACTCGATGTTGGGACTGCGGATGGTCTCTGGATGCGTGAGGTTCAGTCTTTAGTTGCTAAACCAGCTCAAGGTGAACATACCTTCATTGGCACTGATATCAATACGTCCTTCTTCCCAAATACAACTACGCAAGGTATCAGCTATGTAAAACAAGATATCAAGGATCCTCCACCGGAACTATGGCACGAGTCTTTTGATCTCATCAACATGCGCATGATTCTCATCGCCGCTGGTTCCAGCTCAGCTCAACGCGCCGTGGTGAATGAGCACATCAAACTTCTCAAACCAGGTGGATGGATGCAAATCGGCGACTGCGACCGTATCTGTCCAACTACTGAGACTGAGAACCCGAGATATCACGATATGTTTGCGTGTATCAGGGCAGTTTGCCAAGCCTCGGGCCTAGATCCTCTCGAAGCGCCAAAGATGAAGTCTTGGTTGGTTGAAGCTGGATTGGAAGACGTACACGAGATGACTGCTATGAGGGCGGTCGGTAAGAGAAATACGGATGAGGAGTTGGGGAGATTGGGGGTTGGAGCGGATTTGATCATCGCAAAGGGGTTTGCGGCGGGTGCTAAGGGTGAGTCTGGATACGATCTGAGGGGTCACAACTAATCGTGATAGGCTTGATTCCTTCTTTGAGGCCGTTGCCGGATGAGACGCTGGACAGCCTTGTGCAAGATCTAGAGACAGAGCTGAAGGACATAGGGGCTTACTTTCCCATGCGTTTTATTTGGGGCCGAAAACCATTGTAAAAATGGATTCGACCAAGTGGTTGCTGTTGAAGGCTGTTGATATGGATAACGGAACTTGTTATTTTTGTCAGATCTTTCGTTATTGTCAAGTGGTGGTGTCTGTCTTGGCTAGTCGATATTCAGACCCCTTAGAAGAAACAGCACAATAATAAGAACGAATTAGTCCGGTCATTACAATACACAGCAGTCTTGGTCATCCAGTAAGCTAACCTGGAGGGAGGGCCGAAGTGTTGCACGCGGCGAACTCTTCGTAAAAAGTGAAATCTTGGCTCAGTTACTTTCTAAGGCGAAAAGTCATCGAAATCCTACACAATTCTATTGGGTCTGGGCTTTGGTTCCGTGAGTCATGTCACCTCAATCATGAACTCTCCAACCTTAACCAGGTGATCGGAACCAAACACCGATACGCTAGGGCAAAAAGACCCACATCCATACCGACATTTCAGCACTGTCAGTCAAATTTAGTGCATGATGCTCAGGCATATGGAAGCCCCCGAAACCTTCTAACGCCAACCTAACAGTGGACCCACGTGGGGACTCTAACTTATCAGCAAGATTTTTTTTTCATTCACGATAGCTTCAAGTTCCGGGCTTAGACCTATTTCAAGATAGCGTCCCGCCACCCACTTTAATATTTTTCTCCTTCTCTTATCTTTTCTTTCTCCCCGGATTCCACTCCCTGTTTTACTCCACGATCTTTAATTACTGCAGACTGGGTTAAGATGAGCACCCTCGCGCTGCCGTCGAGCAGCTTACCGCCTTTGTTCACGCTCTCTCAACGCTCCGAGGCAGATATTTTCAACGCGCTGCATTACTTGGCGGCTATTTACTGTCCTTTATCGTTTCCTTTTTCGAAGGAGTTGGGGGATGTGAAGCATGCTTTTGCCGAGGTGGATTCGGGATATACCTCTGGGAACGAAGATGACGAGGCGGAACTGACACCTGCGACTATTCGGGCGGACGTCCATGAGAAATCCTTTTCTGAGCGCTGGTTGACGGGTTTTATCTCGCGCGTTGAAGGTTTGGAGATTTTTTCATCGGAGGAAGAGAGTCAGCGGGCGCTGGACCAGGCGGCGTATATTTTTGAGTCACTTTTCGCCAGTGCCTTGGATGAAGATGACCAGAACTCTCCGTTTTTAAGGGAATTTTCGTTTGAGGGCAATGTCCCCGGGGCGGAGACGAAGCAAATTTCTGTTCAACTGAACGATGGACTCGCTGGGACGAATGATACAGACTTTGAAGACGTTGGACTTCAAAGTTGGGGTGCCTCGATCGTCTTTTCGGATCTCATGTGTACAGATCCACAAAGATTCGGTCTGACAAACCTTGATGCTGCCGAGCATAATCGCATTGTCGAGCTTGGTGCAGGCACCGGGCTCGTAAGCCTCGTCCTTGGAAAACTCATTCCTGCACTCGGCATCAACGACTCCAAAATCATCGCGACAGACTACCACCCAGCCGTTCTCTCAAATCTCGAGTCCAATATATCCATCAACTACCCTTCCCCCTCTCCCGTACAAGCATCGCCCCTCGACTGGGCCGATTTCTCCAATACCGCCCCCTTCGACATCCCTGCAAACATGCTTTTCGCCACAGACGTAGTATACGCTCCCGAGCACGCACGCTGGCTACGTGATTGCGCAACACGCCTTCTTGCAGATGATGGTGTTTTCTGGTTATTGGTTACGATACGACCGAATGGGAAGTTTGCGGGGATTGGGGATACTGTTGAAGCTGCTTTTGCGGAGAGAGATAGACTGCGGGGGAAGGATGGAAGGAGGTTGGATATTTTGGAGAGGCAGACGTTGGATAAGAGGAGTGGTGTTGGGAGGGGTGATGAGAGTCATTATGAGCTTTTTAGAATTGGTTGGGCATGACGTAGAGTTACGTATTTGTTTTCAGCGACACTGCATAAAGAAGGATAGACTTGGGATACAACTAGATACAAAGCACGATAGATATGAGAATACACTTAGACGCTTAGACTATGTCGAGAGACAGGCCTAGAAGACTCAAAACCTTGCAGATCAGAGCTTTCCCAATGATGAGGCATAAATCCTCATAGGACTTGGACAAGAACCCATAGATCTACCGAGAGTTGAGGCTAAGAGCTCCATACAAAGGCATAGAAGCAGTTCCTGTCAAAACAGCCCTGACCATTGAAGCGTCACTCAACTAAGAATAGATTGCATCCAGCTTCCTCATCAAGAATCATTCCCCAACCTGGTCATGAGAATAGTACGACAACCTGCAATATCCTCTCAACAATGACGTCCTCCGCATCTTATCCCGCCCAACTAACACCCATGCCCCAAAGCCATCCTCGATCACACCCCTTCACCCCGCGACAATTACTCCCAAACCACAGAGGTCGACAATCCTTACACTCCAGATTTGAATCCCCCTCCCTATGAACCTTACAATCCGGTTCCGCAACCCTCATAAACTCATGGAGATGATGATCAGGCCCTTCCTCCCTCCCAACACCACAATCACAAACCAAGACTTCAGCGTCCTTTACAGAGTCCTCCACAGCCTGCTCATCGTTGACGTAGACGTAGGCCAAGACGAGTTTCATAGAATCACAATCATAGTCTCGGTGAAGAACAGCGTTATCGAAGATCTTGCAGTTGATGCAGAATGTTTCGCGGCCCTGGTGGAGATTGTCCAGTTCGGCTTTCCCAGCGGCGCCTCTGCCGACCTGAGGATGACGTTGGAGGAATTCATGGATGTTTTTTGACGGGCTCTCGGAGACAGTCTCCTGAGAGGCCATGGTATGAGCGTGCAGTATACGGATTTCGAGATTGAGAATTTATGTCAAGTTTTGGCGCTCTGAGAAAAATTTAACTGCTAAATGTCGACTTGAGGCTGATGAGCTGAGGATAAAGCGCCACCAACAACAAATCACAACGCAAGTACACGTGTCGGGAAATCTATGGTCCAGATTATCCGTTCCTATAGTGTCTAAGCGCGGAAACCCTTGTTCAAAATAAGAACCTATAAAGTAAATAAGGAAACAGTCTTGTTTATCATAAAGCACTTCTTATTTGCAGGTCTTAGAACCTTGATTTATATATAACTTAAACTATTACATTAGCTATTACGGGTTGACACATGAGGTATTCTTTAGGATCCCGTGCCTTGGAACTCAGTAGGCGCGCCAAAAGCAGAGGCTTACTTGTTTAAAATGCAAGCGCCGTGATGCACTATTTCATGGTGTCTTAAAGGTGTAATGCGTTCTTAGGCTTCATTGTTTCAAAAGATGGAACGAGACGAGACGTTCTCGGCAACTGGTTATCATTCTTCATAGTATATGGCTGCTAAGTACCGTCACACTGATGCTATTCCTGCCAAAGCCACATCTTCCTCAATGTACACTCGCCAAGGTCATCACCCAGCACATCGCACAGAATCACAAGCACCTACATACTCACAACCAAGTCCTTCATAACTCCAAGACCGACCTTTCTCACTCAGATACGCTCGAACCAAGCCTGAACCATGCCCGACACTCCTGGAAGTCCATACCCATCCGCATCCATAAATACCTTATCCCCACTCCCAAAAACTCTCCACGCAAGAACCTCAAGCCCCTGCTCCTTCAGACCCTCAAACTCAGGAACCGTGTATCCAAAGACAGGAATCTCGGCGAGACTCGGACCAGTGCGGGTCGTGGTTTCCTTTGTGATCTTGCCTCCAAAGCGGTCAGGCATCTTGACCATTTCCTCGGCGGTGATGACGACGACTTCGATATCGCCGGGCTTTCTGAGGCGTGATTGTGCCATGGGGATGAGGTTGTAGGTGTTGAGGACAGGGTCGTGCTTCATGACGCGTATGGTGATGGATTCGTTGGTGGATGTTGCGGCGGTGCCGATGGCGTAGCGGAGAAAGGAGCGAAGATAGATTGGGTTGGGCTTGGGGGAGCTGGAGGTAGTGGTTGAGATGTTGGAAGGCTCAGGGGCGGTGTGATCAGTCTCGGTCTGAAGAAGGGGGTGAGGCATGATGGTGATATGAATTGTTTACAACTGTTGTGACGAAGAGTGTTTGGTTTGCTGTGATGGTAGATGCTGAATTGTTTCTGAGATGGAGACGTTGGAGGTAGATGAAAGGTTTGAGTTGAGGTTGGGTTCTACGAGTGAGCTTGGTTTCTTATGAAGGGAAATACTAGAGTGAATAGTAGAGTCAGAGTGTTCACTGTTCAGGTGTCGAGACACTGCGAGAAGAGGTTTCTGCCACTGTCATTGTGTTCGCGTCTGAGCGCTATGAACATGTATAACAAAAGGGAATGCCCTCAATACCACTGAGAAAACAGACAAGGGCCTTGGCAACAACTGAATCATTCTCAGCTGCATACTAACACTGGCACTTCATCTCATCGCCAGCTTCACCTCCTGTCCATCCCCAATATACGTATCACACCACCTCCCAATCCTCTCAAACATATCAAACCAATACCTCTGCTGCTCAATCCCATGCCCCTCTCCGGGAAACTTGACAAACTCACACTTCAACCCCCACTGCCTCAACGCCCTCCTAAACCCCTCCGCCTGTGAAAACGGACATCGCTCATCTTTATCACCATGAAGAATCAGCATGGGCGGGATAACCATCTTCCCTGTTTCTTGCGTATGTTTTACTGCACTGGAAACTTCCCAGAGCGCACTGCCTTGTCGATTTCTTGTATCGTCGCGGTTGAGAGTCCAGATCGTATCGCCACCCGCAAGTTCGATTTCATACGTTGATCCGAGATCAGCTGTAAGCGCAAGACTTTCAATATCGCAGACACCTGCTCCGGCGATAGCTGCGTTGAAGCGCCACCCAAGACCATGGAGACCATTACGCACACTACACAGATACGTCAAGAGACCACCTTGACTCCATCCCCCGACAATAAGCTTCTTTGGATCTGCAAAGCCCTTCTTGATAGCGTTATCAGTGATAGCCACCACATCAGCGTAGTCATACTTCCCCTGCCCTCCCATACTGTACGAAGCAAACTTTTCTCCGCGACCGCTTGAGCCGCGATACTGAGGGAGGAGAATGCCGTAGCCTTTTGACAGGATGTATGGAGCCCAGTTGAAACATGTCGTATCGAAGGTATCGGTGTCGCGAGATGTTGGGCCCCCGTGGATGAGGACGAATGTTGGGAGGGGCTCAGCTGGGGTCTTGTTGGAGTTTGCTTTGGAAGTTGGGGTGAGGTAGAGACCGTCGAGTTCGACTTCATCGTCGGTGGAACGACAGGTGAGAACTGTGCATGAACCGAGGGATCTGTCTGTAAGTGGCTTTCCGTGGTTGGAAATCTTGATCTTCTCTTTGCCTTTCTCGATAACGAAGATGTCATAAGGGGTTCCAACATCTGACAAGCTTGCTGCAAGAGTCGAAGTCCCAGTCTCTTGGCCGATGAAAATATCATATACCCAGAACTCCTTCTCCTCATCGAACAGATCGTCGCCTCCTACTTCGCTGATCACATCAACGAGCCTAACCTGACGGTTCACAAGGACTTTGTCACCAACGACATGAAGACCTCCGGCATCATCATCGACACCACATGCAACCTTTGCGAAGTCCCCAGTGTCGGCCTTGGGATCAGTTTTGTAGACAGCTCTTCCTCCAGAATCTTTATCAGCAGGCACACCTGTGATGAAATAAACCTGTCCATCTGGCGCCCAGATAAGATCATACGGTTCGTTCATGATCTTACAGAGCTCTGTGACCTCGCCAGTCTCGACATCAACTGTTGAGATAGTCGTGCCCGTCAACATCGCCTCTTCGATATGAGGGTTCTCTGTACTCATAAAAGCAATCTTCTTGCCATCGGGACTCCAACAAAACTCGCCAACGTGAGTCTCACCGCCAACGAGAACCTTTGTCTCATGAGATTCAACATCAACAAGCCTTAATCTTGCAAAATCCCATTTCTCGCCCCAGACTTCAGGATCAGGATCGTCTTTCTCACTCTTTTCCTTCTCCTCCTCAGATTTCTCATCCGGTGAAACATACGCAATAGTCTTGCCATCAGGCGAAAACAAAAAGCTCTCAATATCCTCCCCATTCTCAACATCGGTTATAGGTATCGCGTCACCACCATCCATCCTGAGCATGTAAATCGCCGAAGATTCACCAACCTTGGCACGATCTGACAGAAAAGCAATTCTATTTCCATCAGGATGCCATTTTGGCTCAGTGTCGTTGAAGAGACCGGACGTTAGTTGGCGAGAAGAGTTTGGTTCGGTGGATGATGCGATCCAGAGTGTTGAGAGGGCGGTCTTGCCTTTGCGGTGGCCACCGATGAGACTGGTGGAGTATAAGATTTGTCGGCCATTAGGGGAGAATTTGATGACTTTGGGGACTTGGAGATCGCAGAGGGTTTGGGCGAAGGCTTTGTCGAAGCCTGGAGTCGTGGATTGGTTCATGATTGCGGGAGAGTGAATTGTGTGCTGAGAGCACAGTGAGGGGTTGTTTTGGGGGACGGACTCAAGCTTGGAGACGCTGTGTTCTGAGGCGAGAACTATTGGAAGGCCACGAGATTATGATCTTAAATAGGAAGTGTTCAGTGTGTGATCCGATGTTCGATTGAAAGAATCAATTCTCATTACATCATGAACTCGGCTTCATTGGCTTTCTGATGTCTAGTGAGAAATAACGTTGACTCACTGATCGACTCACTGGAGTAAGCGTAGGTCAATCATCCGATTGGTTAGCGCGTACAATGACGGGATATCCACAGCGGCTCACTGACTGAACCGCTAAAACCATCGCGATGGAGAGATCAGATGTAGTTGAAGGACTCCGCTGCATCAGCCCTACAGACACGGTATGCGACTCATTATGCTAACTTATTCCGACTACATGCACTATCGCAATGCCTACTCAATTGGGGTGGACTGAGTCATGATGCAGCTTACCTGCAGTAAGATGAATCTCAAGGGTCGGATCATTTTGAAATGCTGTACTAGGGCAATCACCAGTCTTCTCGATCTGTAGCCGAAAACAACTAACTTGAGGTTTGGTCTTACGTGAAAAGAGTTGGAAGTTTGAGAGGCAATAAAGGCAGTGCTATAGCAGATAACACAGGATCGACGCAGAGTTGACGCAGAGGCGATGGCGAATTGGCTATGCCAGGTGGCACAGCACAGCCTTGTTGTCCCCAAGAGGCCTCACAATTGCATTCCATTCAGCTCCATAACCAGGCTATCCATGAGATCCATCATCCCGCCTCTTACATCTTGGCAACGAAAAAAATGGAAAAAGTCTGGTTCAAGCTCCGCCAAACCGATTATCCCCCTTCCCCAGAGGACGCCATCCTCCATGGCGACGGCGACGATTCCACTGCCCCTCTCTGTCTAGGCCACTTCATCTCCAACCTCAAAGCCCTCGACTTCCCTCTCAACCATGGTTCAATCCTCCCCTTTCCTCCACTCATGCGCCCCTTTTGCAGCAGCATCCTAAACTTCACATGGGACGATACCAGATTAAAGTCTCCGGGCACAAATCTCGCTGCGGGCGCGCCGATACTTGCAGCTGCAGGCGTCACAGCCAAAGCGAGTCTGCAGTTTGCGTTTATGAAGACTGTAGAGAGCCATGAGGAGTATGATCGGTTGGATACGTATATAGTACAGCCTACGAAGGGGTATATTAGGGATTGTCTGGAGCAAGATGAGCTCAAAGCGCATGTTAAGGGAAAGGTCTCGTGGTCGGTGTTTATGATCACAGGCATCAAAGTCGCCCGTGCGGGGAAACGGGAAGCACAGGAGGAGACCAACATTGCAGCTGACATTGGTCCAGAACTGTACGTTCTCCATGAAGAACCCATGAAAGTAAGCTCTGATTAAAGCTGACGATATTCAGGGACCTTCCGCTAGTTGCTACAATGAGAGCTACAGCCACTAACAAACGCATCGCCTCCCAGAGAGTCTCTGGAGAGCACCCTGGAGATTTCATCTGGGCTATCCGCCTCGCCAAGATCCACAAAGGCTTACTAGCAAAGGACTGGTCTGTGGGTCCGTACACTAAGAGGGCTACCTTTGCAGCTGGGGATGAGAGTGAGCTAAATATTGCGAGTGTGTTGCACGACGAAGGGTTGGAGGGCTTCACAATCGTGGAGGATGATAAGCTTGATGAGGTTCTTGTTCTAGGTGAAAATGCGGGTAACTAGGCTTATTCTCGATGTAAGTCTCTACTGTTATATAATTCGAACGCTTCTCTAGTTTGCCCTCTCCATAGCTTGTGATATAACTTCTCTCACACGATGTCTATCTGCTTCCCGACTGACGCCATGCCTCAAAGGCAACAACTCAAGCGGTGATATGTATCTCAGACTGCCTGCTGGCTTCGACATGGCGCTGAAGATCGCAAGCATGCCAGGCAATTTGCCGACATCTTGTGCTCTAAAGATGGACTCTTTGTTATCCTTCTGTCGTGCAAAGTCCACTATCCTCGCAGCAAGCCCTGCAGCTACAGCTGTAGCCACTGTTCACAATCAGTACATATGATATCTCGAGAAGACAGCGCTCTTACTTGACGTTCCGCTCATGCGCTCATTCCTCCTTTGATCCGGATGCTGAAAACCCTCGCCCAGGATCGCAAAGTTTTGTGTATCAGCACGCGGTTCCGGATTAAAGCTTGAGCCTTGATTGCCAGTATTGGTAGAGTAAATGCACATGGTGCTGAGATTATGTCGTGCTGGGAAAGCGACTGTGTTTGTGTTTTGCCAGTTTGATGCTGCAGCTATCACCAGAACACCAGCAGCTTTGGCTCTCGTCACGGCGTCGTCGAGTTCCTTGGAGTAGTTACGGAAACCAGCTGAGATACTGATGATGTCAACTGAGCGTGGTGGCTCGATAGCCCAGTGAATAGCCTTAAAGATGTCAGCGTAAGCAGCTAGATTGAGTATGGTAGTAACAAACTCTCGCCATTCGAAGGGGTCCTTCAATCTCATCGGCATGGTCCCGTTCAAAACCTCTTGCGATGTATAGCCTAGCCTCCTCATACATTCCCTGAATAATCCCAGCACAGCAAGTACCGTGCCACGAGTCGTTTGTAGGAGCGCCAGTAAAGTCTTTATACTCAGCTCGGTAACGACTTCTTTCCCTGTCATGGAGGCCAGAGTCAATGATGGCGATCTTTACTCGCTCATAGCGGTCATTTCTGTCACCTCGCATAGCTCTGATCAGGTCGTCTACTTCGTCGAGCCAATCGCCCGCCGTACGTTCGTTTTCGCTTTCAACGTAAGTTGTCTGTCGAAAACTTCTGTGGGATACTTACCTCTTGATGAATGTTGCTCTTAGGTTTCGGGACTTGATCCCTCGTCGAGTGAGTTCCTCCCAGCTCATCTGGGAGACAATGGACTTGCCGCTCTCGTCATAATCGCTTATCCATATGCCAAGATCCCGAAGGGACTTCAGTAGGCCTCTTTGAGATATCTGTTGCACTCTGTTCCTGACTGTCACTGTGTCAGCTTTGAGGTGCATAGATTGAATGTGGTAGGGAAGTACATGCAGTTGACACAAACACCATCAGCGTATCCCTCTCGCGACACAATTGCCCTGTATCTCTGCTCTCCATCTTCCTTTGTTGCTACCAAGGTACATCTAATCTTTGCTCGTGTGTCATCCTCGGCAGGAATCGGAGGCTCCCTCCAACTTTCAGCCTGGGTACTTTGACGGTAATCAGGATGAAGCAACCGAGAATCCACGATTTGTTCGTTTTCCAAAGGTCCATGAATGAACAGCTCTCGCATTCTGTCTTGAGCAACTTTCAGGTACGCGGCGAACAAATCTGCCTCTATCATCGGTAAAACAGTCAGTTCTCCGAGACAGCGTGGCATTGTTAGAGTGACTGACCTTCACGTAGATCGAAGTAAAAGTCAACATTGTCCTCAGTTCCCTGCTTCCCTGGGGCAATAGCTTGAGGCAATGCTATATTCTTCAGAGTGATAACAAGCCTACCGAGAGGGTTGGTTACGTGACATATTCGCGTATCTAAGTGAACTATAGCGTGCTTGTTAGTAGCAGCACCAACACCAATCCGCCTATAGCAGTGAGACTAACCTCGCACTTCCCAGGCGTCCTCGCCCGAGGGAGACCCTTTTGAAACAATACAGAAGTAGGACTGAGGCATCAAACCTGTCAAAACACCTTTACCTGCGTCCTCCCCGGTATAGGGAGATTGTAATACGCCAAAGTGTTTTAGCCCGACACGTGAGGGCCTTGGAAGTAAGGTTGTGGTATTGGACGAGTGAAGAGTTACTTTCACTATTTTGGCAGAAGGAAATCCCCAGCCACTTATACAAGTCAGCTTCCAAGAGAAGTTAAAGGTATCTTACGGTATCAACTTACTTCCGTATCATCTCCACCGTTCCGGACCCGACTGTCAAGCCAAGAACACGCTTCGTAGATAATCCCCGAGAACGAATGTTCTCTGATACGGTTTCAATCTCTCTGTAATCTATGAGAACTTAGCCCAACAGCTAACAGGCTCGAGGGATCGGCGTTACATATGGGTGATACTTCCGACAATCTCACAATGACCAGCGTTTGTGGTTCCGGCTTCACTGCCAGAATAAACCATTTGCGCAGCCCATTAAGATGTAGCTCCTCTGTGAGAAGGCTCTTCCCTTTGATGACTTGTTGTAAAATCAGCTTCTATCCTCAGAAAGTTTTATGCTTGGGTCACTCACGCTTGTAGGTCAAGTGGTCGGCATGCGGTTCGCCTACACAGCAGCACCGATACTTGAGGACTTTTGGTTTCTCTATCGCAATATCTTGGAAGCAAGCCTTAGGGCAGATAACTACTTCGCCGGGAAACGAATCGGACCCGGGATTTCTCATTACAGTCATCTCGCTGAGTGTGAAAGTTGCCTGGTCATCGATAGGCGACGCAGGTAGGAAAATCCGGTCCGAGACATTGAGAATTTCGTCTGTCAGTTCATCAAAGACCTTCTTCGCATCTCCATGCTCTGATTCGATTGGATGTAGGGCGTTCATGATTGGACGTTCTGGGATGTCAGAGGTTTCCCAAGAGGCATGCTACATGATCACAATGAAGGATAATCAGGCTGACACGAGGGAAACGGGCTCGTTAGTGGCAGTGCTTATGCGGCTGAGTCTGGCGGTCACGTTAGGCAGCGACACAGCCCATGTTTCAGGCCATCCTCGGGTTGCTCACCCGAGCCTTATTCTAGTACCGAAGCGCGTATGGTATTGGCTTTTTTGGCGGAATAGTATTGAACCTGGCTTTCTCTTCCTTTCCATTCGCCCTGAACAAAATAACACTCCCTGATAGCGTACAACAATGCTGTGAATAGCCTAGAATGAGACCTGGTTCTAGGTGGTCAAAATGCATGGCCCCTCGTCACTGAACAGCAAGATGCCGGCCTACAAAGTCTGTGATTACCTGCATGTCATTGCATATGATGATTGGCAGCAGCCCCGCTGGTCAGACCACATACCCCCTCATTATGCATGCAATATGCACGCTCATCACACAATCGTGAGGCCCTCCACCTTGTACCCCATTTATCCAGATCCATAGACCAAGCTCAAATTGAGATGGATATAAGCTTTAAAGATGGAAATGATGCTTTCGAGTTCAATAGGGGATTTGCCAGTGATATGCCAAGTATATCTCGAGGGAATCCAATGATTACGCTCTCATGGCCCATCCTCATGAATTCTTGAGCGATTACCTGCATACCACTCACCCTGTGTTGCACTCGTCTTACTCTGGCAAGCACTGCGACTGCGACATGGGGGTTGAAACTCCTTAGTCACACGCTTAGCATGATGATTTGCGTACAGAGTAAGCAGCGCCGTTCTAATGATAAGAATGGCAGACCAGTAACTCTTCATCCTCCTTGTGCAGCCTAACAACGCCAGTCGAGAATCCGATATCATACTACCGATTCTGAATCAGTGAATCAACGGAAAATGGCGAGCCGTCACGTCTTCACCCAACGACTCAAGTCCGGGGTCATATTCTCGGCCCCCGGCAACTTGTTGTCTATGCCCGAGGGAGGCTGGGGTGACGATACACCAATAAAACGACGGAAAAAACCCCAGAGAAAATCCAAAAACCTTGGCCTCGATCACTTTTCTCACTGGGTAGCGAAAGTGGCGCCTTATGACGAATCATACGATACTGTCGAAAGCTTCATGTCGGGTGAAAATACCCGAGGCATTGGGAATGAATACAGGCCCTACTCAGTATCACCATACCCCGAGCCTGAAGTGGAAATTGCGTCGGCGACAACATCTGAGATGACACTATGTCTGCCGATGCTCAGTGTTTCTTTGACAGCGACTGTGGATGGTACAGTCTCTCATACAGAGCTGGTGCAGAAGTTTCACAATCCTTCTGATATTATCATCGAATCTGCGAAGCACGTGTTCCCCCTGTACGATGGAGCTGTCATCACATCCTTCGAATGCACCATGGGCGACGAGCGCCGCATCAGGGGTGTCGTCAAGCCCAAGGTGCAAGCCCGAAAGGAATTTGAAGAAGCAGTCCGCGATAAAGTGGCAGCTCCCGCTCTGTTGGAACAGCACACACCTGAGATCTTTGAGACATCTCTGGGGAACATTCCCGCAGATACAACTGTGGAGATCAAGATCATGTACGTTCAAGAGCTCAAGATCGTCATGATGGAGTCAGAAGCGACAGAAGGTATAGCTCTTACGATTCCGATGTCTATCGCTCCACGCTATAGTAAAACGCCAATTGAGTGGGAGCCTGCATCGAAGGTACCAGAGGAGAAGCTTGATATATGGATCAAGGTCGTGGATAATGGAAAGGTCAACCATAGAGGTTGTGATGAGGAGTCAGGTCACCTCCTTCAATTCGAGGGTTCTAAACCTGTCGAGTACTCCAACTTTCTGGAAAAGGATGCATCATCTAAGACCTACTATGTTTGGCATCATGTATCTGAGCCAGCCATTCTCAGAAAGGACTTTGTGTTTGTCATTCAAATGAAAGAAGACCACCATATCAAGTCCAGAGCCATCGCCCGTCCTGCTGACGACAATGGTTTCGCCGCCGTGACGGTAAACATCCGGCCCAACGATCTCTTCCGGAACGCCATCATTCCACAATCATTCACTGGAGAGATTTTGTTTCTTCTTGATCAGTCTGGATCTATGGAATGGTCAAACGGCTCACCAGACTATGGCAGACGTCACACTGGATCACGCAAGATTGATGTGATGCGGGAGGCAATGCTGCTAGCTCTTTCAGGCATACCGTCAACATGTGTCTTCAATGTTATTTCCTGGGGCTCGGCAACAATGGGTCTTTGGGAGACCTCGCGGCCTCACACACAGGAAAACATTAGAGAAGCCAAGGGTTACGTGTCTCAGGTAGAGGCTGACATGGGCGGGACGGATCTCCTTCGGGCGTTGGAATCCGTGGTGAAGCGACGAGTGCAGGACAGAGGATCAACGCAAATCATCATTCTCACAGATGGCGAACTGGAGCCGGAAGAGTCTATAGAGTTCATCTGGAAGAAACGTCAGCTGTTTGGAGATAGCATTCGGTTCTTTGCCCTAGGCATTGGAGACGAAGTATCTCATCGTCTCGTTGAGAGTATCGCGGAGTGTGGTGGTGGCTACAGTGATGTAGTCCATACTACGCAGACACCGAGATGGCATGATCGATTGAATCGGTTGCTGAAGTCAGCGCTGGAGCCAAACAGCTGGAGCTGTGATATTGATCTCGGCAGTCAGTTCGAGCGGAAGGACCTTACCGATTTCAAGCTCAGAGATGAAAATGCCTTGGAGAGTGGAAAGACATCTTACATCCAAGCCCCCTTTCCAATCTCGTCTCTGCATCCTTTCAGCTTCGCCTCCATCTCTTTCTTGATCGATCTTCGTCACGGTGGGGAGCTGCCCAAGACTGTGACTATAAGCACAACAACAGCTGGTGCAAAGAAGAAGACTTACGAACTACCCATCGAGACTTCATCAGGCAGCGATGGCATAATCCACCAATTAGTGGCCAAATCGGTTCTTCTGGATCTTCAGGATCAGATCAAACGCGGGACAGCTGAGACGAAGATTGCTCAAGAAAATGGAGAGAATATTGGCACCATGTACTCCATCACCAGCAAGTGGACAAGCTTCGTGGCTATCTCGGAAAACCAGCCTACCCAGACTGTTGAAGAGCAAAAGATGAATCACTACAAGGCGCTTTTTGATGAGATAGACATTGACGAGCTTCTCAACAACTTCAGTGAAGACGAGTATTCATCTTCGGGCTCTTCCAGTATCATCAGCTATGATGCCTGTCAAAGCGCCCGAAGGAATAGTATGGGGTTACCATCAACATACAGCTACCCTACTATTCCAGGAAATCCTTTGACGACGGGCCGAGTCCTCCAGTCCGCGAGTGGTTATGCACATCCCATAATGCAAAGTATGAGCCATCCTCAGCCCGCTCCCGATCCAAACGCAGATCTTTCTCGTGATCCGGCCCTCATTCACTCCGGGAAAAGCCCCGCCTACCCTCAGAGTCTTAGCAAAGAGGCCACGGAGGCAAACCACCAGCCAGAGCAGGATTCGCAAGCCTCTGAGGAACCTGATTGGTCTTATTTGCTGAGTGATGGGAACGATCTTGGGGGCAGTAGGTTCGGCAGACCACCCCCAATACCAGCTCCCACCCCTAGGGCTGCACCAGACCGGTCACCGGCTGGGATGAGTTTACCACCTCGATTTATGGAGGGTAGTCGAGGTGAACATCGTGAGGTTAGGCAATGTTCTTTGGAGGATGATGATGAGCCCGAAGCTCCTCATCCAGTGGGAGCTCCTGTTACACAGCACGTGGGCGATCCAGTACAGAAAGAACTCCAAAGATCTGGGGATTTAATTGCAGCTCGGAGTCTAAGAGCCCGTTCGAAGGAGGTGCCTGGGCCGAGACCTTGGGAGGACCAGGACTCTAGTGAGTCCCAAGCTCGGGAGAACAGTGTTAGTGACGATGTCGGCTTACCAACAATAGAGCGCGTTCATGGAGACGGCTACCCAGAATTGATTGGCGCGGACTTCCTTCTTTATCCTAATGACTCTGATTGGCGAGACGCAGAGAAGTCGGCGCGTGCGCGAGCGGATACTGAAGACGACGGCTTGTCGGACTCATCATCACGTTTGGAAGGACACGCCCGAAAAGATCCTCCTTTCCCTAGCTTTCGGCGATTTGACGAGTTTCTTGACGAGTTTCCTTCAGAGGACGCTTCAGATGATGGCGAGACTTTTGTTTTTAAGCTGCCGGATGCTGCTGAAAACACTTCACCTTGTCGACCCCACGTTGAGCCTTCCACCTCGAGGCCATACTCTCCGTCGCAGGCAACACCAATACTCATCGGACACGTTCCACCTAGCAAGCCTATCGCTACTGGTGAGAGCCTCTGTGAAAAGGTCCATCAATTCAAGGAATCTGCCCAAGCAGGGGTTGCTCATGAGCCTATGGTCTCACCTAACGCCAATCGAGGAATCGCCATACCGGCAGCTGTTATAAAACCGGAAGAACCACAGGTATCTGATGGCAGTTTCAAGTCAAGATTGCGAGGTCGTTTTGATAGGTCATCGAGCACCGGGTCTAGTGATCCTGGGGAATTCGTTTTTGGAAAGACATCGAAAAAGTCAACAATTAAGGAACGCACGTCCGTGCCAGCGGGTACGTCAGACAGCATCGTGCAGCATAGCGTGTCTGGCCCACCATCATCTATGCCACAAGACTCTGCAATTTTCGAGCTTTCGGACCCTGATGCACCTGGGACACATAGCGATAGAAGTCTCAGCACATTGTCTGAGCTTGCGGAGTATTCATCGGCTAGTCGGGCACCTTGGGCAGAGCAAGAGGTTGTACTTGGTGGTCCTAAATACCCTACTTACAGAGCTCATCCCATTCCCAGGCCCGAAAATTATCAACACGGTGGCTCGAGAGCTTCGGACGGCGACGGGAAGGATAATGGGGCAATGAGCGCCACGTACATTCCGGCGGACAGTGTGAATGGTCTTGAGCCTCCTCCCGTGAATTCATACTCAAAGTCTTCTCTTGTACATGGACTCCCATGCACTCCTTTCTTTTCTCTCGACAGACGTCATAGTCCAGAAGGTAATACACAAACTCTGGGCCTTATGAGGACGCTTCCATCTCGAATAAAGGTCTATGGCCCTCTGGACTGGCAGTTTGCGATGGAGTGTCAAGACGGTCAGGGTCTCTTTGACCTTGGCGAGGAGAGGCCATCTCTACACCTGCACTTTTGTATTGAGACTGCCACGAAGATCGGTCCTCAGATTTCTGAGCTTCTACATAACTCATCAACTGCAGCAGAAGAGAGCGATGATATATTTGCCCGACTGCTTGACACGTTGATGATGATCGAGTGTTATAAGACGCACCGAGCGCAGGAGGAAGATACGTGGGATCTAATGATGGAGAGGGCGTGGGACGCGGTGATATTGGTTCTTGGACTCTCAGATGAGGAAGAAACACTGGAGGAACTGGCGGGTCGATTGAGGGGAGCTATGATGCATGCGCATTATGTTGCAGCAACGGGAGTCAAGGACTCGGAGAAGGATGAGGATACAACGGGCACTACGAGATGTCCAGCCTGTGATGTGATTTGGCGAACAACAAGACAATTCTTTTGTCCGTTTGATCACGAATCTGACGGCGTTGATGAGTTTTCGAGATGGGCTGATTTTTGGAGACATCAGATGAACGAGGGACATGTCGTTTGTGCTCAGGGGGTCATTTACGAGTGAAAAGAAAGGTACATAGGGGCGATATGTAATCCAGATTCAACTTATTATATTACGTCACACCTTGTTCATTTTTATGCTGCGTCACTGAGGCTTGCTCGTAGCGCGGCTATATGGATATCCAGACCATGTTATGGTGGAGAGCTGCGTACCCTGGAGGTGTGCCGTTGAATACAAGAGCCAAGGGGTTCATGCTGATAACTGTGAAGATTACATTAATTCTCAGGCGTTCATGCAAGGCCCACTAATGGCATATTGTGAGTTTAATAACACTATACGCCTGGTCAAGGCAGCCGTAGCGTGATGGTAGCTTTTGGTAATGTCCTGGATGGTTCAATGCAGTACTGTTGGGATGCAACATGATCACAGCCGGTAGCAAAAGGGATAAGGAAAACCACTTCCGAAGACTCCGAGGCTGTCAAATCTAGATATAGATGCCGATTTTACCCATAAATACTACGTATAAAAGCTATAATAAATGACTGCAACAGTAAATCCACGGGATAAAGGCAGCTCAACAAAGCGGCATTGAGAGTCTACGCCCGCTCGGGCCGTCCAACCCCCCACTTTTCCAACTGCCGATCCCTTACGGAGAAACCCACAGGAAATGATCTACATCAAGGTACCAGGGCCAGCTACGTCAATTGCCGTCGCTTTTCTCCATCGTGTTCTTTACAAGTTGCACCTGTCTTTCCACAATTTATATCTGTGCAAACACCAAGAATCGAGTCTGAGATATAGGCTACAGAGGACGAGTCTTGATAAGAACCGTCGATATTTCAGTGTCATACACTCACTATTGTAGGCATCATGGATCCAGACAAGACCAGCACAGATGGCACAGACAACATGAGGGGCTCAACAGGCGAGCGACCTCTCCTCTCAACACCCGACATGGACCGAAGAATCAGACGCGCCGTAAGTCAACTCCTCCCTCACTCATCAACCCCCCCTCACATACATCATCAGTTTGACCGTCGCGTCATGCCCGTCGTTTGCTGTCTCTACGTCCTCTCGTACCTCGACCGTGGCAACATTGGCAACGCCAAGACCGCCGGCGCCCAAGAAGCCCTGAACTTGAGCTCCGATGACTGGGCGTGGGTTCTCAATTCGTTCTATCTCGCGTATATCCTGTTTGAGTGGACGACTATGCTTTGGAAGATATTCCCTGCGCATATTTATGTCTCGATCCTCTGCGTTTGGTGAGTTCTAGTAGGTATATTGGGGGTTCTGTTACTGATGGAGTCGTAGCTGGGGTACGGCTGCGATGTGTTCTGGGTCTGTTCACAGCATGACCCAGTTGATAGTCACGCGCATCTTTCTGGGTATTTTTGAAGCTACTTTTGGTGCTGGTGCGCCATTCTTCTTATCGTGTCTATACAAGAGGCGGGAACTGGGCCTTCGGATGTCTATTCTGTTAGGCATGTCACCTCTTGCAAGCACCTTTGCATCAAGCTTGGCATATGGCATCACCCACATCAAAGGGTCTTTGGCGCCTTGGAGACTGTTGTTCATCATAGGTATTACTACCCTTGCTCGGCTTAACAAATACTGACTGTATTCAGAGGGCGCACCCACTATCGCCTTTGCCCCAGTGGTCTACTTCTTCCTCATCGACTCCCCCGCAACAGCCAAGTTTCTCACCGAAGAAGAACGATACTTCGCCGTTCAGCGCGTCCAAGGTCCTGATGGAGCCAAGAAGAACGTCAACTGGAGACAAATCATCGCCGGAATTCTCGACTATAAGAATTACGTCCACGCCATCATTCACTTCTGCTGCAACTTTTCATTTGCGGCTTTATCTAATTTTCTTCCTACGATCGTGAATGCCATGGGTTACAGTTCTATCAATGCCCAAGGACTCACAGCGCCAGCCTATTTCACAGCCTTTCTCCTATGTATGGGAGCTGCGTTCTTCTCGGATCGGTGGGGAAATCGTGGGTTTGTCGTAGCTGGATTTGCTGCTTTGGCTACAGTTGGATATGGCCTTCTTGCTGGGATCCAAGATATCCATCGCCCAGGCCCAAGATATGCTGGTGTTTGGCTCGCTGCTTGCGGCATCTTTCCAGCGCTCTGCATAAACATTACGTGGTTACTCAATAACCAAGGACGGGATTCGAAGAAGGGAGCAGGGCTTGCCATCACGTTGATAATTGGGCAATGCTCGTCTCTGCTCAGCAGTTACATGTTTCCAAAAGAAGATGCGTAAGTCATTTATGCCATTTGTGATTGGATGAAAACTGACATCAGATAGACCATTTTTTGTCAAGGGTTGTGCAATCGGCTGTGGTATGAGCGGTGCCATCGTAATCTTGTCGTTGTTTATGCACTTCGCCCTGGAGAGAGAGAACAAGCGCAACGAAAAGCTCTATGGACCTCTGGACAACGATGCGGAGGTGGCTGCTGGAGATGACGACGAGCAAATCAATAATTTTCGATACCTGACATGAGTAGATAGCGTCGCCAATTAGACGTCGAGCATTCTCGCTTTTAACCTGTCCACGATGTCAGCCTTAGGCTGTAAGGCAATTATAAAACGGATTGGACCCCAGCAATAGGTAGCCTAGAGGTAAACAAATCGACAAAACGATGAGGACATACGTATATTACCTTGCAAAAGCCAAAGTTCATTGGAACTTGGTGTTGGCTTGATATGCCTCGTTAAGACCTTTAGCCATCGTTCAATCTACAAAACAAACCCCTCGTTCGAGATCCAGACTTATATGCCCACTAGAATTGATATGCATTCCAACTCTTGCTAAGCCTCGGACAACATCCCGAAAAATCGGTCATCTTGCAGTGGCGACAGAGGCGAATTCAGTTCGCAGTTTAAGCAAACCGTCACCGAGGTTTTATATCTTGAGCAATTGAGAGAACGTGAGGTACTATTCAGAAAATATGGACCAGAGTCGTGAAATCCAGAGATTAGGCGTTCTGGAATATAATTGGCCACCCTAATCACGCAGAAACCCTGATTTTGAGCGGAGGGAGGAGGGAAGAGACAAGAGGGAAGCATGCATGTTTCAGTTCGGATGGCGCAGGACAGGTACTTGGGTCGACTGTTGGTCCCATACTAACGAGGCGCAGGTGATTTGAGGCCAGCGTAAGCAAACAGCGAGGTTAACTGACGTCCTGAATGGGTGTCTGGCGATTGGATGGGGAGCTCTTGGAAGTAGAGTGTACCGCTTGGCCTGACGCATGCTAACAAGAGATCATTGGTCCATGAATGTCTACGCAACAGATGAGAAACGGCATTCAATGCAACAGCGTAGCCGGGCGATCTTCCCAAGGCATATTAAGCGCCTCGAGGCTCCGCATCTACATTTATACCAGCAAGCAAAATACCGAGCAGCTCTTCGAGTACCCGAAACCCCCCTTAAGTCTATAAAATACTCAATAAGACCTCCCCGCCCTCTTCTTTCAATACAGCCTAGTCATACTGTCTGTTGGCCCAAGCTGATCTTTCTATATTTAACCCCCGCCTTCTTTGCGTTGATCGTTCTCGAACCCTATTATCAGTATGGCAGAAAACCCAACCGGACTTTTGCAAGTGGCGGGACCCGAAGATGCTGTCGTTGAGTGCGCTAGTGAAATCGATTAAGAAGGTTGTGATAACCGCTAACTTTCCGACAGCATTGTTTTCGTCCATGGAGTCACAGGAGGTCGGGAGAGTGATTGGACCAGCAAAAACAACACCTTTTGGCTTGAGACATTTCTTCCTCAGAGTATACCAAATGCACGTATCTTGACATGGGGATACTCTAAGAGATACCTCTCCGATGAAGGGTGGAATACTGCGGTGTTAGATCATACAATAGAAATGTGCAATGGTCTGATAGAGACGCGGACGCATACGGTGAGACACAGATCTGGAATAAATTAGAATTGGTCTCAGATACTCACAAGCTTAGCCTTATCGCCCAATCATCTTTGTCGGACACAATATTGGAGCCTTAATGTGCGCAAATGTGCGTTATCCCCCCTCTCTAACTCTATGGTTTGGATCTGTCGTTAACGCCTCACATCTTCTAGTTCCAACTTGTTGGTGGACATTACCAAAGAATTTTCGGATCCATAGCGGATTGTGTCAGAGGCATCATCTTTTTGGGAACGCCATGCACAGCGTTTACTGAGAAAGAAGCGAGAGCTTGGCAACGTAGGTTGTTAAGTCTTTCGATTGAGCTTTTCCACGACTACCCATCAAATGATTTCTATTTTCCATCTAAGTTCATCTTAGATGGTTTTTGGGGACTCAGACAAAGGATAAACACGTTTTCGTTTTATGAGGAGGACGGTATTGCTTCATTAGGGAAGGTATGCCAATCAGATTTTCGTTCAGCGCTGACAATTTATTGTCGCGACAAGCTCAAATTACCAAAGTCGATTGCTGATTCTTACCGATAGGTAACTACCAAAGACATGGCAACGCCCCCTGACAAATCATTCGAGCCTCTTTCGATTCCTGGCAATCATATAACCATGTGCCAATTTGACTCGAGCGATGAGCCAGGTTATATCATGATAAAATGGCTCCTGCAAAAATGGATCAGAGAGCTACCAAAGCCTACGTCTGGAGGCCCGGCTGATCCAACAGAGCCGTCCCTCTTGACTAAAGTCCCGGCACTTGATACTCCTGCAGAACTTCATATACTCCACGAACTTCTGGGACTATCTACTAAAGAGGATATCCCAATTTCCGAAGATGATATCGATATTTTTGAAGATGCTATTAAAACTTTCGAAGATAATATCAGTATTTCTGAAGATGACATAAGTACCTCCGAAGGGCCAAAAGGACGATTAAATCCCCTTCTTTCCCCTGAAGCTATCCGGTGGCTGGTTTCAAAAGACCTATTGAGCTCTATTCAGCAGGGACGCCTTACCATCTCAACAGCGCCTCTTCTAGAGTCGTTCAAAATCTCCACGACAGATTCATCTTCTACCGAAGGAAGCTGGTCTTTGTCCGAGGATGACAAACCTTTCTTGCGCAGTGTCGATATTCCAATTCGTCTCTATAGTCTCGAAACATACGAATTTCTTGGTTACGAGTGCAAGGTTGCTGAAAACCTTTGGGATGTCTTCAATTCCTCACTGAATCCATCGTTCTCTTTGTTGGAGGTTTCGAAAGCGTATCTTGAAGACAATCCCGAATCTCATGCGAACTTTGAATACGACTGTAATAACTTCATGGCCAAGATTGGAATCTGCGATAGTCTGCGAAACTCAGTACTCGACTGGCACTTTGAAAACATTCGACTCACAAGAAGCTGCGAGTTCTGGCTGCGGACTTCATTTGAGGTCAGGTGGCAAGAGCTGCAAGCGCTTAATGAGGATATTCTCAAAGTTATGAAGAGAACGGCTTCGACCGGCGAAAAGCCTGTGGAGCCGATATCATCGGTTCCATCCCGTGAAAAGCCTGTGGAGTCGATACCATCGGTTCCGTCTCGTGAGCTCGGCACTAACACCAAGAAAACCCAATCTTCTGAACACCATGACACAGTACACGGGCTCGTTGAACAACACACAGGTAAGCGGGGAGATCAAGGACCTACGACAAGTACAACTTCAGCTACCACGGCAACCGAACCTAAGAATGAAGAAGTAACCCTGTGGCGGGGGGGGCTCAAGAGAAAGTATCGAGGACGCCAATGATAACGGACATCTTCGTCTCAATATGATACGCAGTATGCCTGGCGACTTCTCTGGTACTATGGGAGTTCCCTACTTTACAACTCAGCGTGAGACGGCCGAACAGTACGGTGCCTTTCATACAAGGTTATCTCAATTTTGTACTCCGCCTTATCTCCTCAAATTCCAAGTTGGCAAAAGATGGTTGAGGACTCTTCCACATCGATGCCTCTGGAAGAGCGGTATCGGAAACAACACTTGTGATATAGGCGAATTAGGTTGCCCTGAACAAGAATACCAAGGAGGAACAAACACGGAAAACTGGTCCTGGGAGCGTGTAGTCTTTACATGTAGGAGAGGAGGCTTCACCCCCGAATTTCTCAGAGAACGTGATCTGGTCATTGGACATGTAGCCAGATTTCACACTGAAATTATCCAGAGAATGGAGGCAGAAGTCGGAATCAGTGATGGATTACTCCTCATCGACGATATGCCGGCTGTACAGTATGCTTTTGTATCTGAGTCCTCTCAGAGAAAGCTGGTGACAGAGGCGCGTGATATTAGAACCGAATGTCTAACAGGAAGCATTTCTTGGGTAAGCAGGAATGTAGCTCGAGAAAGAACAGACGTTGGGGATGTTAGGTATCACCCGCAGAAATGACCGATGTAAAGACTGCCAGGCCAAGCTGGGATATGGATCGCGATCACGCAACAAACAGAGGAAAATCGGTCCTTCTCTTTAGTGCTTTGGATGGTGCATAATGTTTTCTAATTTTGTCAATTTGAGTTTTGGATAACTGGATATGCGTCTTTCATTTTTCATTCAAATCTCTGTTAAGAATAGATCAAATTCTCAGAACTTAGAAAATATTATGTGACTAAGCTTCTATAAAGGAAAGTATCTGCCAAAGGTTGCCAATTTTGCCGTGTAAGGACCCAAAAGTCCACTCCAATGGAAATCGCCAATTCGCCTCTACAATATTCAAGCTGATGTTTTCTTGATACCCTCTGCCTTTCTCCCCACCTGATACCTTGCAATCACAACGATCGACAATGTCAAAACAGTAACTGGTATTGCGCAGGCGAAGTACCAACCAAAGGTTACTCGCAGTTTTGTAATATCTTCTTGCATACTGAAGAAGCCGGTGATAAATGATAGTGGGATAAAGATAGTCGCAAGCCAAGTAAGACGCGCGACATTTCTGCTCTCTTCAAGGCTTCGATGTGAATCTGCAATCGATATGGCTGCCACGACCATCGCCGTTAGTCTGTCAGTGCGTTCCTGTAGCTCACTCATCTGTCGAATCACCTCTTCGATATCAGGTGTTATATCTTCCGGAAATATCATCTGTGCGAGTTCTTGGTGGGAAGAGTCACCAGTCGACTTGCTGTGTACATGGCAAAAACCTATGCTGGCTGCAGTACTGGGATGTCTCGAATCCATGGGTGTCGGCCCAGCACTTCGAAGCGTCTCCGTGAGTATCTCTCGGTAGAACGGTATATGCCGTCTCCACGTATGTAATCTTTCTAAAGACTTGTCGATGATATAAGTATCTTTGTAGAATTCACTAGGATTTGACAATTCCCATTCAATCTGGCCAAGTCGAGATTTGATATATTGGCATATAATAAGCCACTCAGCGCAAGTCAAATAAAGTATGGGCTGCATGATGATTGGAAGGTTCTGCAAGTATGTTGTCTCGGAAAGTGATGGGGACCATGGGTATTTCAATATCCAGTATATGACATCTTCAAAGAGAGATATTCGTGGTGCTCCCGATGGTGGTGAAGCTGTCTCGTGCATTCCAGGAATCGGGGCCCAATTCTGATAACCATGCCAAAGAGGAAACCCTTGCTTAACCGTTGGGTCGACTAGTACCATGCCTATCACAGCCATCAATGATGAGTTCTTGGTGGGAGTTTGCGTTAGAGGACATACCTGTAACTCCTGAGTCTAGACTGTCATATTTACTAATCCACATAGAGATCTTAGTCCTCGTTATCCCAACGACCGCATCGCCGTCCATGTAGGGCCATTGGTTCTGGTCATCGTCGGGTCTTCTGAAGACGTTGAACCGATTCGATTCGTCACGGCCCTTCTGAAATGACTCTCTGGTCTTGAAGTATCTGGGCCTGACGAAACGAATCTGGGTCCAATTCTGATGTTTGCTTCTTGCTTTCAAAGTCGGGGGGTCCATCCACCGGTCTCGGATGTTGTACCATGAATAATCATCGATATGACTACGAAAGAATGTCGGATCAATGTCGAACTTTGAACCTAGCGTCTCGATGACGCCCCGAGAAAGATCTTCTACCACAAAAAGTCTCAAAGAACCTTTATCGGGGTTTCCATTTTCCTTGCAGCGTAACTCGGCTTCCAATTCATCAATATCTGTGAATCTCTTACAGGTTGAGTTCCCGGATAGGTCAAAGTCGAGGATGGTGATATTTGTTCTGTTGCATCGGTCTTGTCTCTCTGCTTCGTTTTCGCGAAGAAACTTCCACCTCACTGGAGTAGTGCTGACCTCCATGAAGTCGGCTAGATATCTCAGGCTGGGCCACGCACTTGAGAGCGATTTCACATGAGCAAGATATGGAGCATTCGTACTATGTAATGTTAGCTAACTATCCAATAGTCCATTTTTTTGTTTTCTTTTAAATTTGTAACCAGTGAGAAGACCAAAGGATCTACTAACCTATTTATTTCCCACTCACGAGAAATATCTAGAGGGTATTCTGAGTAGGCGTCACCAATGTAGTAAGGATCACCAGCTTCTGCAGTATGTGGCAGAATCGTAGAATAGATGACCGACTCTGACACTTTAATCACTGCTTCATGCGCATCTTTTGAAGTATTAGTCGTCGGGTCAGTATTGTTTCTGGGCAGGGCGGAGTGACGTGTTGGGGTCATCTCAGTAGCGGCGTTAGGCGTTATTTTGCCAGCAGGGGCTGTAGAGCTAAAGGCGGGAGAGGGTCCGTAATTCCAAACTATAGTATTGCTAACCAGATCTAATAAATAAGAAAGAACAATATTACAAGTCAGGCTCTCAGTAAGGTAGATTAACTGCCCAAGCGCAAAGTTACCCCGCCACCTTGGGCGTTTCCCCCTGTCAATTATGATCAATTGTTACAGGCTGCCATGCTTATGTGATAGAAGTGCTGCAGAGAGCTGTGCCCGGCTACTTGCTGCCCGCCTGCATGGCTACGGCACAGGCGGGTCAAATCCTTGAATCAAAAGGCAAGCTCGCCATTCTCCTTCGGCCTGAGGCGGGGCAACTTGGCCGCAGCAACGTGGATCATTTCCGCGCCAGTCAAGGGTTGAAAATGACACCTCAAGGAAAGTATAGGGACCATAGGTTCAGGCTGTTAGCCGGCTTACAAGCCTGTAAGGCATATTTGGAGGCCGACCAGGAACCCAAGCTTCAGCCTCCATCAACAAAATACCATCTTCATTAAAATTTAAACGCAATCGACCGTTGGATTTTATTTTCAGTTCATCTAAATCCTCACCTTCGCCTGGCCCTGGGCAATCTTTTGGAAGACAGGTTCCTTTGCAATGGCGACAACCAGTGCGACAAAAGCGGGGTCAGTTCGCAGCCCGGCACCAGGGCTCGATATCTTCAGAACTCCAGAGAATGCAACTTTCTATTCCGCAAACCTGTACCAGACTCTCGACAAAAGCAACCAGGAGATTCGACTTATCGAACTTTCTACACAAACTGGCAGTGACGGTATACTTGAGTGCAAGTTACTGCCTGCTGTGTTGTTAGCCGACACTCGGAAACAGTATCTGGCTTTATCATATTGCGCAGGAGACCCAACAGACAAAAAGGAAATCAAGGTGAATGGGGTACCATGTAACGTATTTGAAAATCTGCACCACGCGTTAGTTCTTGCTCGTCGTTATTGGATTCAATCGCCTGAACAAGGGCCACTTCGACTCTGGATCGACCAGCTATGCATCAATCAGCAGGATTTAAGTGAGAGGTCACACCAAGTTGGCTTCATGAGAGAGATTTACCAGTCTGCAGAACGTACATTGGCTTGCTTATCATCAAGAGAGGCTAGTGGCGAGGGACTGAAATGGCTCAATGACCTATGCGATGCTATGTCTTTTGAAGAAGACTATCGGCCATTCCAATCCAGCAGCGAATACGGATTCGCTAATGAAGGGAGCGATGGATCAGAAGAGATACCCTTTGAAAAGGATGGACTGTTTGAGACCGAAAGTGACCGTCTTTCAAGTTACAGACTCGAGTGGACCTTCGTTCGTGACTATCTCTGGGACAACATACACAATGTGAGGTTTGTAAATGGGTGGATTGAATTTTACGACGTACTGAGGAGCCAATGGTGGAACCGAGCTTGGATCTGCCAGGAGTTCTTGGTCTCCAGTTACGTCACCTTCATGTTCGGTAACTATTTCGTCTCATGGGGGCAGTGCTGGAGAGTTATACTCGGATTTTGCGGGATACACAAGCACGACCTGATGAAGCGGGAACGATTCCTAGAGTTTACAAAACACACACGAGGCTGTCTCGGAGATATCCAACTTTGCCACATTCTCAACAACGTCAACAAAAAAGACCTTGGTCAAATCGAGCATGTGGGGACGGCCCTGGAAATGAAGCTTCGGTGGCGAGGTGGCTTAGACATTAAGGCACTTTTATCACACTCTCGATCTTGTAGATCTTCTGATGATCGGGATCGAGTATACGCTATGCTTGGCTTAGCCTCACAAGGATACCAGATCTTTCCCGACTATTCACGAGACATGACCGCAGCAAAGGTCATGATTATAACTACCAAAGCAATCATCGACAAGGAGGATAGCCTGAATATCCTTATGAAAGCTGCTACGTTGGTTCAATTTAGGGATCCCAACTTCCCTTCGTGGGTCGTCGACTGGACTAGTACCGAAGCGTTGGATGTTGAAGGTAACTCATTCAATCTATTCCGGGGTTTGAGTTGGGTGTCCCACGAATCTCCACAGCATGCTTTTGAAACCATCACAAGCGAGTTTGAACAGACACAAATACACATCCTAAGGATTTACGGGACATTCATCACAAAGATAGAGTCGAAGAGGACAGCGAAATGGCCCCTTGCGAATTTCTGGGGCTGCCGGTGTTGGGAAGGTAGCGCTCTTGTTTCCATTGCCGATGGAGATGAAGTGTGGACCTTACACGGGTTGAGAGTGCCGATGGTTCTGCGGCCATTTCTTAATGGCTATAAGGTCATTAGCTGTGCCTTTTTCGACGAGCAGTCTAGTTCGCCTTTTAATACAGTGGTATTCCCTGAACAGATTAGGGCGCGTTTAATATTGTACTAGGGCATTAATATCAATATTCATTGAATGATGGTAAACGGCGTCTTAATAATTGTGTAGGTAATGCAATATGTCATCCCAGTTTTAAGAACTTTCATATTATTCTCATCATATCCGTGTTTAGCACGAATGATGGATAATTATGTTCCATGGTCAGGGCAGCTCCCATATAGAGAATGCGTTAATCTCGGAGACCGCTTTGACCGATATGTACTATACCCTGGGCACCTAGCAGTGCCTAGATACGCAATATCCAAACGTCACCGAGTCTCTGATTATCCTCCCCAAGACCTCCATGGACAACCACAGCATCCTTTGCATCTTCATCCCGCACAGCATCAGCGTCAAACCATCCTCTAGCAACAGGTCGGTCGTCACCAATTTCCACTCTCTGCCAAGTACTCCCCTCAATATCGAAAGCCCAGACGTCAGAAAGCATCTTTCCAGCGCCAGCATGGCCTAGAGCGCTAGGGTCTGTCTCGCCAAACATGGTGACTAAAATTGTCTTGCTCTGCACTGAGATTGCCAGTAGTGTTGCGACACTTCTCGCCTCAGGGCCCTCATCGCCATCTGGCTTGTAAGTAACCGTAGACCATGAACCAATGTTGATGTTGTAGATATCCAGTGCGCCACCCTGTTCTGTTTTGCCATCGAAGCCGTTCATGCGATACAACTTCCCGTCGTGAAATGCGATGGAGGATCCACCGCGCGCAGGCCCTGGTGCAGAAGGAAGCTCAGTCCATGACTGTTTGGTGACGTCAAAAACCCAAAGATCATTCAATCGGTTCTGCTCGGGGCATCCAGAGTGGAGGTAAAGCTTGTCAATTCCATCTGAGGTGATGCAATGGTAGCTTCGACCATCAGGGAATGGCGCAGAAGGATCTACTGGCTCGATAGAGTCCCATGTATTCTCAGCTGTGTTGTAACGCCATATAGCGCCTTTTTCTTCAATGGGCTTCATTTCGAGACCGCCGCGTCCCGAGAAGAGGAAGATGTTGCTTCCGATGGTGGTGCTTGGGCTGCCAACTCGAGGTGAGGGTGCTTTGGCGGGAGCTGTGAGCGTTTGGGCACCATGGCCTGTCAATATTAGCGAGGATTATATACTAGTTGACTGCTGACATACCCTGGGCATCGAGGCTGATTACATCAACTCTGTTGTCAACCGGTTCACGTGGAAGCAACTCGCCGCCAAAGATGTAGGTTTCTTGACCGACCGTGGAGACAGCTTGGGAAGAACGGTAGAGGCGCTTGCTGGAAGTGATGTGAGACCAGGTGGCCTTTGGTAGCTTGATAGAAGTCATTGTGAATATTGAAGGGTAGTGAGGTGCAAAACGAAAGAGAATTGAGGCTGTCAAGGTCTGCCTGGGTAGCAGGAGGGAAGGTGTTTATTTATATTCTCCCGAGCACCGTGTTGGGTTCTAAATTCCAAGGCATTTGGACACGGTCTACCTGGTTCCAAGTTTATTATTACTGCAGCTAGTTTCACAGTATAAACATGATGGTGCCATGCACGAGAATACAAGTCGTAACCCCACAGCGGCATGCGGACTCCGCGACCTCCATCAAAATAACAGACTCACCAATAAGCGCAGCGAACTAACGCACTTGAGATAATCAAGTTAGCTCATCCACTAACACCACGGGCCTTTAATTCTGCCACGGAGTCCGCCTCTGCGATGGAGCCTCCCAACCATTCAATCAACAATGCCTCCAAGACGAGCCTGTGACGGCTGCTTCAAAAGAAAGGTATTTCACCCCACGCCCCGATCCCTGGAGTACCCATAGACTGACGAAAATGAACTAGATCCAATGCATCAGACCGGATCCCGGACGGCAGTGTGAAAGGTGCGCGAAGCTTCATCTCGATTGTGCGTGCAACAGGGAGCCGCACAGTAGGAAGCAAGTCCTTTGACACCATTAAGTGAAGGACCCGGCTAACCTACTACAGAGATGTCCTCGCAAACCAGGTCGCGAAGCTCGAGAGTCGGGTCGCTGAGCTTGAAGCATCTCTTTTGCAGATGCGCTCCGAGATTAGCGTGACCCCTGCCACCACTTCACTTTCAACCCTGCGAGAGGATACCACGGGTTGCATCTCGCCATATCTCCAACAGAACTCCACGAGCGCTGCATCTGCATCGCTCTGGAACTGTCTCGGACTACATTGGTACTTCAAAGGTATACCCATGAATTCCGCCCAAGGCCGAGAGTGGCTTTCCTCCAAGATCGGCGAAAGCGTCACTCTAGATGGGTTTCATCTCTTCGGATCGCAGAGATACCATTTTAGCAGCTCATCACCTCTATTCACCTTCCCAGCAAAACGGACGATAGAAGCATTTTTAAATTCGTACATCACCTCATCATGGAGACTTCTATACCCTGTTATTGACCCAGCGCTTGTTGGGGAGACGTTGGAGGCAGCTTATACCGAGTCGAAATCGGCGCAGGCATGCCTTTTGGCGTTCATGGCTCTGTGTTTGCGGTTGAAGGGGTTTCGAGTACACCTTGATGATCGCGATGTCTATATACGTGCGTCGCACAGCTTTCTGCCGGAATTACTTAGCCAGAGCACCCTGGAGAGCCTCCAAACTGTTATCATGCTTGTAAGCCAACGGTTTTCTAAGCAATGCCTATTTTGCACTAATAAATCTCAGCAAATCTATCACCTGCTCTCAGGCCAGTGGGGTGCCGCTGCTGAACTCCATCCCTACGCCTGCCGCGCTATACACGATCTCAAAGGTCACATCTCACATCCATCCGTGTCCAAAAGCGCAGTTGATTGTCGACACAGACATATCCGGAACCTCTTCTGGCTATGCTATATCCTCGACAAAGATATAGCCCTACGATACGGAAGACCGCCTTCTCTGACGAGGGAGTATTGTGACCTGACGCTGCCAGATGATTGGGCGAGGGTATATCACGCACCGGCCGGCACTACTCAAGGTGGGATGTTCTTCCAGGACGATTCTGTTTGCTTTTCGCAGGACCTTTGCCTTTCTCAGATCAAAGAGAGGATTTGTCAATTTCTCTGCTCTCTGGATAATTCGAAACTATCGGATGGACTAATTCTTAGTCAAGTTCGCCAGCTGGACGTTGATCTTGAGAGGTGGCGCTCCAGCATCCCTATGCACTATAAACCGAAGTGGTCTCTGAGTATGGAACAGCCGCTCGTCCATCCGCAAATGTCTTTTGCTCAACAGGTCAGGTGTTGTCATTTGCAGCTAGAGTATAATTACCTGACGACGGTGATTCATACGGCCGTCCGGAGATGCGGCGCGGTCTACGCTGTGGAAGATAATCTTCCTGAAGATCTTCATAACGTTTATCATTCAAGTAGTGATATATCTCTCGGAGCAAGTCGTAGTACTCTCCAGATCTTCAAATCATATCCAGATGTTCTCCAGGAGGATATGTTTGGGTAAGTCAAACAGTTCCTTTTACTAATCCTGTCCTAACATCGACAGCCACATCGCGATATACCCGCCGATAGCGGCCATGGCGTTATTTATGAACCTTCTCCTCCATCCATCTGACCAACGGGCCCGAAACGACATTGATCTCTTGGCGAGTTGTGCAACGTTGTTTCAGGATATAGCGATGGAAGGCTTGACGAATGATGACATGGACTGCATTCAAGAACTGAACAGGTTCATATCCGAGCTGGTTCGTCTTGGGAACAGTGCGGTATGGAAGGCAAAGAGGCAATTAAAGAGCACGACCGGGATAGCCATGGCCGGGCATTGAGACTCGGATATAAAGTTTTTGACTTGTGACCGGACCGGACCGTGTACCCGATCACGACGATCCGTCGCATCTAATTGGTCTGACCGGACGCCCAAAGAAGTATCATCTATCCGGTCTAGATATTTATCTTGCGCGCCCTCTTTTCACTAACGAATTTCTTGCAATTTTCTGTCCACGCCTTGTAGACGACGCTTTTCATCCTCATATTTCGATACTACGTGAACCGGGCTAAGATTCCGGTCCCGCTTATGATAAGCACCACTCATTCTGAGCAAGGCGCTTCCCCGCAATCAAGAGGGTATTTAGAGGGCGCACGCCAATGATCAACGAAGGATAACAAAGACATATAAGAGAGGGATCGAACTGAGAATTGACCATCAACGCGAAACATCATCAACGTCACTCTACAAAGACAATAGGCATCATGTCTTCAACCACCACCATCCAAGCCCAAAGCGGCACCCTCACCATCTCCCCCAGTTCCAAACCCACCCACGGCCATGAACTCAAAGACAAAACCCCCCTTCAAGCAATGTCCCACGGCGACGTCGTCCTCAGGGGCATCCCCACCCACCCAAACTTCGCCTCCCAGCGCCAATGGCAGCTCGAGCACATGGCCGCTGCCTTTCGCCACTGGCACCGCGAAGGCTACGTCGAAGGCATCAGCGGCCACATTTCCGTGCGCGACCCCGAATTCACCGATGCGTTCTGGACGAACCCCCTGGGCCGACACTTTGGCCTTTTAAAAGTCAGCGATATGATCCTCGTTAATCTGAAGGGGGAGGTCATTGGGGGAAATCGCTCACGACCGCCTAACTCAGCGGGGTTTCTGATCCATGCTTCTATTCATAAGGCGAGGAGCGATGTTCACGCTATCTGTCACTGTCATAGTATCCATGGCAAAGCTTGGTCTGTGTTCGGCAAGCGCCTTGAGATGTTGACGCAAGACGTGTGTAAATTCCGAGGCGATGCGCACAGCGTTTATGATAGTTACGGCGGCGTTGTGCTGGGCAGTGAAGAAGGGGACCGCATCGCAGCGGCAATGGGGCCCAAAGGAAAAGGCTGCATTTTGCGAAACCACGGTATTCTGACCGTTGGACAGACCGTGGATGAGGCAGCGTGGTTGTATACGTCTATGGAGAGGAGCTGTCGTGTGCAGCTTCTTGCTGAGGCCGCCGCGGCGAATGGGCTGCCTAAGGTTTTGATTGACGATGAGGAGGCCAACTTCAATTTCGATGTTGAGAGTGATCCTGAGATCTGTTACTGTGAGTTTCAGGCTTACTATGATCTGGAGGATGAGCTTTCCAATGGGGCTTTCAAGAAGTAGGATGATGGAAGGCCGGTTTATTAAACTCTGGCTCATAGTGTCGTTTGTTGATTAATAGTTTAGCTGGTGGATATATCAAAACACAATTTTACAAGTTACACTGTCTTTTCATAATTGAAACTTATGTAAAAATCTTAAATCGTGCAATATGCCCATCTTCTCTAATTCAAGCCCCGCCAATCCTTTTTCTTTCCTGTCCCCTCTACTTCAACGATGATGCAGTTCGTTATAAAGCTCGAAGGCTTCTTACAATACTGCCTGACAAGATCCTCTCGATTGTCCTGCCCCTTAGTGAAGCAGTTTCTCGGGGGTGCGTGAGTAGAAAATAGTACCAAGCTCTTGCTATTCCATGGGTGAAAACTCCTAAAGGCATTAATGCGGAGATCCTAGGCCTGGCCCTTCTTTTTCTTCTCAGATTTGAGGAATACCTTGCTCTGTGTCCCTGGTGCGTAGTATTGTCCGTTTCTTCCCTTTCTGTATCCCAAGTTTCGGTATTGATAGCTGTCGCACACCTTCAAGGCTATTTTGACTATGTTTATGGAACGACGACCAACGCACATGATGGAAGTGTAAGAGGGCTTGATAGGCTACGTGCTGAGCTTTTGTGAGAAGACGGTGGTTGAACTTCGATTGAGGCTCAGAGCTGGGTGGGTTGAGAAGTTGGATTGTCGTCTTGAGGCAGGGGTAATGGCTGCAATGATGGTGAACAGGAGAAGAGATTACAGGCATTTCGACCTTTGATACCATTTTATATAGCATTCTATTCGTAGGTTTCTTGTGACAATGAGATCTGCATATTTTACAACGTGAAGTCAGTCACCGTCGAATAAAATCTGATACATCTGGCTAATCACATTCTTGTGTACCACGAATAACTTTACAATTTCCCTGCTTTAGTCTAAGAAACAACAACATCTGTACAATTAAGGTGCCAATTTCTTAAACTGTAAAGCAAAGATATGCCTGGGCGCTAGCGGTACGTTGCCTAATGTATGTATGAACTTGAGCTCTCTACCTTGTTGTTACTGAAGTATATTTTAAGCTCTTAACCTTGTCATAGTGCAAGGCCACGGATCAACAAAGACCCGGATTTAATTGTGAATATGCTTTTGGAATTTAGATCTTGGACATGTTCCGTTTATGTAAAGTTTCCTAGGTCACAGCCCTGGCGTCAAATGCGAATGCCAAAACAACTTCGCACAGCTTCAGGATTTTTGAGACGTGTTTTGCGGGAAACCTCCCATCAAGAGTTGAATTTGGGAAATTTTGTTCTTATTTCTCCATTTCTTAAACTTAGGAGTGTTTCTGTCCTAGGCCCTTCCATAATTCTCTCTGACAAGTGCCTCCCAATTCTCTCGTGCCTTTCCGTAATTAAGTGTCGCAGATGAGTAAATTGGCGAGCATATCGATTTCGCACGCTCTGAGCGTATGACTTTGATACTATATCCGAATTCGAAAAAGGAGATAGGAAGAAGTAGGGTAGTCTGTTTCTTCCAACCGTAAACCTGATCACGTCAAGACAAGAACAGCAAAATCTCTTAGGGTCAACTCTAAGCCAGAGGACCAGTCAGAGCTGCCATCGAGTTACTTTGAAATCCCCAGACTTCGGCGCACTGCTCTTCTTGGAACCTCTGGGCCGGCCGAATGGTTGAGAGGCACGTGGGTGAGCACCATGCCCCATGGCACGAGTCCCGAGACTTGGTCGAGATCGAAATGGTCCATCGGGCGAGCTGGTCGCGTACTTGGATCTCGAGCTACCGCAACAGCCCATTATGGATGGTGAATGGGATATGGGGTTGATTGTAAATGGGGGTTATGGTAGATGGATGGAGGAGGATGGGAAAAAGTGTCGGAGCTTAGAGTTGGATGAGGGGATGAATGAGGCGGCGGGTTTCTTTTTGGAAGGGGAATGGTTTAAGGATCAGGTAAAGGGGAGGCAGGGTCTACTTATATGGCTCTCCAAATTAGGTATCTTATGCAGCTGTCTGTATTCTATTTGCTCGTCATGCTACGATTGTGAGTCTCGTGCAATTGGTAAACGTGGCTTTGACGCAAACCGAGCTACTAATGGCCTATGACCTTCCAAAAAGCAACTGAGGTTGGATGAGAACTTCAATTTAATTAGTCCAACAAAAGAGCCATCTCTTCGAGTCTCTTGAGTTTGAGTTCCAACGTGAACACGGGTTCAGTCACGTATGGATCTGAAACTCGTCTTTGCTAACTACATTTTCTCAACTGTATCTGGCCCAACCAAGATCCGGCGGCTTCACCGTGTGGCGAATGCAGGGGAGAGCATATTGGACGTAAACATTCAACATGTTTGATACATACGTCAGGCAGCGTATCAAATTTTAACCTAACAGCAGGACAAACTTTCAACTTATCACCCAATTTAATCACACACATGGATACGTGATAGATTCTCAGAGGTATTTAGAGTTCACTTCACAATTCTGAAAAATGCACAGCGAGCTGATCCGTGATATCCAGAGGCTAACACTTGGGGAATCGAAACACTTGGACGGTTTTATCGTTCCTCGGTCTATAAGTTATCTGAAGTTGACCATAGTTGGGCTGCGGGTCATTCACAAATGATTTAGCAGTATGGCTTGATTCCATCGATTTCATACATTCTATTCTGTACCTCCTAACAAATCAACTACAGACGTACCCCAGCTAGACTTCCAAGGCTGTCACGACTAGACCTCATAAAACGACGTATCAAGTCCAACATGCTCGGGATTAACCTCGTTCAAATTCCTCCCAGACCAACCACAATCCCAGAATGTGACCAGCGCCCAAAGCTTGATGAAGCTGTGCACGTACCCAAACACAACCTGACAAATAACAAGCGGAAAATCAGAAGGATACTGCAGAAAGTGGGGGATGATCTTGATAACCTTTGTCCAGAACATGAACACCAAAAAGATCACTAATCCACCGGCGTCAGAATCTTCAGCAAGGACAAACGTGGCGATGAGCGCTGCATCCCAGAGTATAGCAAAGTTGACAAGACCAGCCCAGTACACCATGAAGCAACTCCATGTATACCGAGAGATAAAAGCTGGATCACGAAGCATGACTGGGTTGCTGCGAAAGGTCGTACGTGCCCAGCGAAGTAGCTGATCCTTGAACTTTGGCCACTCACCCAGCGTCGTCTCAATAGTCGCATCCTCTGTGTCCTGAAACTTGACAAGCCACTTTTTCTTCATTCCCTCTCTCGTCAAAAAGTTATCATCATCGGGACCTAAGCCCTGACCACCAAAAAGGCCAAAGCAGAATTTTTCATTGCAGAAACGCTGGAGAAGGTCAGTGTTGTTGAGGAACTCTGTACGGTACACTGCTGTTCGGCCTGAGATGACGAATACTCCACCGTCTATAGCGTTGGACGCCCGGAGTTCCCAGTTGTGACGCTGGAGGTAATTACACGCGATGAAGTTTACGATGGAAGGCCATGTCCAGACTCCAAGTGTTGTTCGGCGAACTCGTTTTTTGGTCGCTACCATACCGACACTCTGGTCCTCAAAGGGTGCGAGAACAGAAGGGATAAAGCCTCTTGGCCAGAAGACATGGTCATCTGCGAAGATGGTAATAGCTGTAGTAACATTTGGCATAGCATGAGTGATCTGTCTCCTCTTACTCGGCTCAGGAAGCGCCGAGACAAAAATCTGAA